AATTTTCCGAAGTTCATAATAACCTTTTATGAGGAAGGATGCAAATATGAATCTCAGCTTCCGAATTCGACTCTCACTAGAGCTGCGATCGCCATGGTGTATCTGTTGTTAGCTAACTTGGTTCATCATCTCAGTAACTCATATTCAGTTTCAAAACCTGCGAACAAATCTTCAGAATTTATTCAGTTTTAACTTATTGTGGGTTAGGGTCAAAGTTGAAAGGGGTTTCTAAAAGAATTGATCTCAGAATTAGTTCGTAGTTTTTGAACATTGAACTGTCGTGATTAACATCACAGGTGAATAATTGCGTCTCTTCTTCACTTAGCGAGCACGTTCTCAGGTCATCATAGATATCATGAGTTCTGCCGTGTCTTGGATTTCCTCTATTGCTGGAAATACGTTTTCCTTCAGTGAAAAAAAGTTGGGAATCTATTTCTCTCGTTTCTTATCGTAATGAATATTCAAAAATATGAATATTTGCACTCATAATGGAGTGAAAATCTGGATAAAACCACGGTAATTTAGAGTATTCATGTTGTTAAATATGAGACCGTCAAACATTAAATTGATAACAAACGGTAGAGAATTCAGAAGATCACTTTATCATATTTAGGTGGCTCGAGTCGCGGTTGACTATGATCACCACTACAGACCAATTACGTTCCCGTCACAGGGTATAATATCTCCGTGTATCAAGGACAGAGAAGAAGAGGTAATCCATACAAGGGAATATATTTGCCGGCGACTTCGTAGTATCGAAAGCGTGCCAGATAAGAGGGGCGAAGTTACAGTGGACAGTATACCCAAACATGGCAGCAACACAAAAGGTAAATTTGCGCGTACAAAGTACAAATAAGCAAAAGGTTCAATAAAACAATCACTGGTACATTCAGTTATGATAATAAATTTCTAAATTAAACCAGTCGCATTCTCTTCATAAAAATTAAGTCACTACAATGTAACACGGGAGAACGAAGGTGATAAAGTAACTTTTTTGAGATTGCTAATATCCGCAAATCCTTTCTTAATTTATTTATGGGAACATGGGTTATTTAGTTTCGCGACATTAGTACACGTTATAATCCTCAATTTGTGGTCCCTACCTAGAAGGACCTTAAACATCACTGGTTCGTTCACTTTTTTGTTATTTTCTGACTCTATTAAGCACATTGTTTGTATCTTACTGCTCATGAAATGAGAGCTTGTTGTTCATTGTATCAGGCTACCTTAGAATTAAATATTCTTCATGCTGGGCTATAGTTAGCTGTGCTGAGGCACCGAGGAAAATCATAGCTTGTCCTATAATAGTGTCACTGGTTATACGTTCTGTTTGCAGATACTCAGTTGTATTTTATATATTGCAAGCATAGCAGAATTTGAAAATGGCTTAATAATGATGAGCGTTATTGAATTTGCCTTTAGTAAAACAACCATTGAGTTAACTCTCGATTTTGTAGACTTCTTACATCCTCGTTTTGAGAAATAATTACAAGGATTTCAAAATGTTTGTTAGTTCCATACTTAGTATATTAACATAAGCTAATTTTTTATTATTGTGTGTTTTCCTAGTGCTTTTTCTAATTGATTGGTTGAAAGTCATAGAAATTGAAATATCATTCCATGTTTTTTTTCCATAAATTGAACGCAGGATCGTACATGTCAGTTTATGTTAAGGGGATTTTATTCGGCCTTCCAGGGCTCATATATAAATTAGGCGTTGACGACTTGCAGAGCATGATAGAAGCATTTATGTTATAGATAAAAAGACCGGTTGAGGGGATTCTTGCCGAACGTAAAGTGGCTATGGAGAAAGATACTATTGTACTTTAAAGTGTACATTCCATCATAAGGATTGTTTCTAATAAGTGACTGTTTGCAGTCTAACATCTGTATAGGAACGAAAATGATCGTAAGATGAAAATTGTCCAAATATTTAATTGGCGAATAGTGATAACCGTTACATTATAGAGGACCAACAGAAGTCAGGAGATCGCAAAAAGTATTGTTAACAACAGACTGTCATGCCATCAAAATTACTTTGTTCTGAGAAGGATATGATTTGTTCTCTCAAGAGGTGGTTAGCGGACTTTTAAAAACCACTTGAATTACAGCACACCAGCTCATTATTCGGGTTGCTTTCGAAGTTTTGTATCATATTTGTACAACTGATGAAGTGACGATACTTGCAAACAAAAATTCTGCTATAAGAGATCTTTAGTCAGATCTCTTTCTATTCATTGAATACAGAACAATAGCAGAATACGGAAACCAAAGAATAAAGGATTTCAGAGATTTACTACGTTCCTTAAAGTTATCACGAGAAAAATTCATACACAGAAACAAAGCGATGCATGGAACTCTAAGCAGTGAATAACAGGTATCTTTCTAGTTGACAGAAAAACCTGCTTTCATCTTCTTTGTCATTTATCAGCGAGGCATGACCATACTCTTGATGGAACTAATGCTCCTTAGTGGAGATGATCATCTCCGTCATGAATATGATATAATAAAGCGGAGAATCAGCTGTTCATCAAATTTTCAGATAGTACCTTGTATCGCAAGTTTAAGAAGTACTAGCGGGATGAACAACCTTTATGCACGTCAAAAAAGACAAGTAATGTACTTGACTCATCATGTGAACTGAAGCCAGATCACGGACCATTTTGCATTCAATGAACAATGCATACCAAAACAGTCTTCTTAGATTTTGACAACTAGCGTTGGTTCATTCATGAACTGTTCCATAGTGCTTCGATTGAAATAGTTCAACAGGGTAACTTCATAGACTAAAAGCAATAAAACTATTTCATTGTTATGGATTTGTACAAAGTTCAGTAGCAAAAGGTTGATTCGCATTGCTATAAGCACAAGAATAATGAATACTAAAGCTAGGTATCTATCTTTTTGAACCTACTAGTTTACTTGTTTATTCACGGATGGTTTTCAACATAAATGGATGTAACCTAACACGTATCAAAATAAAAGAATTAGTGGGGTTTCGAAGTACTAACACTAACTTCATTAAAATTATATGACGAATCTTACTAGTTAATGAGAATAGTGTATCTCACTGAAACTTTCGAGTCTCCGATAATGCAAAGAATATTTCAATTAAATTCTACTGTGGGAGAGAACAAACCAGAACAAACTAAAGGAGGAAAAAGCGCTGAAGGCGGATAGGACACACATCAAACAAAGCACCCAGCTACGTCATAAGTCAGGCTGTTACTCGGAATGCTCAAGGTCAACGGAGAAGAGAAAGGCCAAGGAACACATTATGCCGAGAAAAGGAGGCAGGCATGGGAAGAATAAACAAAAATTGAGCAAAACTAGAAAGGAAGGCCCAAGAGAGAAGGTGGGAGAATGCTGGTCAGCAGCCTATGCTCCATTGGGAGTAACAGACGTAAGTAATTAGGTAAGTAATCCATTGGTCCTCATTCTCAAACATTAGCAATTTCACATAAAAGAATATCGGTGATCCAATGCTGTGTATACCATACAACTGAACTGATAGAAGTTCACTGACCACGAATTCACAAAGCATCATACCATATACTCAAATCAAAATTCTAAGATCCGTTTCTGTCGTGGTACACAACCAAAACACCAGTCCATAGTTTACTAGTTTTAAACAATATCATTTAGTTTACATGAATAAACAAATGAAAACTGCCTCGATACTGTTTAACTTTCAAAAAATATCTATATTTGTTTACCAAAAATATACAGTATGCCTATGGATAGAGAAATTACACATACACAATAACAAATAATTTACTAAACAAAATTGAAATACATTTTTAAATTACAAAAAAGTCTCAAATATACAAACTCAATTCAATATTGTTTATCACAGAATATTTAATTGAGAAAACAAAGCAAAGCGAAGCAAACAACGCTTCCCTCTTTCCAAAACAAAAACATCACCTACTAGTATTATCATTTATGGATAGAACCAATCGAGAAAATGTAAAGAAAATGTTAAAATTATCAAAATAAAAAGCATCCAAAATTGTACAGTTGCTTTGGAATCAATTGCTTCACGAAGTAGTTCATTTCCTTGACGTATATATTCAGTGGCAGTTACAGATGAATCAGCTATCTTTTCAGTTGTCTATATATGTATATATACATATATGTAACAGTGAACAGAAGCAAAACATGAAATAACACGGATTAATCATGTTGAAGAATACTACTATAAGTGATTATGATAAGTTTAACAAAGAGTAATAAGCCGAGAATATAAGTAATCAGTGAACCAATCCAATTTTAAAATAGCAACTCTTGAATTTCCATGCACAAATCACTCATCTAATAAGAAATTTCGGTATTATAGCTGATTTCAGTTTGCGATCAAGAGCTCGAACCTAGAACTCGAGATCCCAATTCATCATATTAATTTATCACTTTATTTTGACCTTAATAAGTAATTGGAATCGTAATACTAAGGTTATTTTAGTATCGATTAAAGGTCGTCTAAAAACTATTAGTCTCACTGGTAATAACTGTCATGCTTGCCACTAGTTGATATGCTTGAAACTATTACGAGAGCGAAGATAAATGATCCAGTGACAAGATAGGCTACTCTAATCCGAGCGTCCCAAGGCCCAACTAAGTAGAGGAAGAAGTCTTGACAAGACGTAGAAAGCGTATTCTACAAGCACTTAGGAAATCAAGGTTCACAAGCACACAAATCGAGTTTATTTACACATGATAGAAACGTCCTTTGGACAGCCATGAAAATAATGTACTAAAATAATTACTTACTTGCGCCTGTTACCCCCAATGGAGCATAGGCCGCCCACCAGTTTTCTCCAACCAACTCTGTCCTGGGCTTACCTTTCCAGTTCTGTCCAATGTTTGTTCATTCCTCTCATATCTTTCTCTATTTCTCGGCGTAATCTGTTCCTTGGTCTTCCTCTTTTCCTTTTGCCTTGAGGGTTCCATGTGAGGGCTTGTCTCCTGATGCAGTTAGGTGCTTTCCGCAATGTGTGTCCTATCCACCAACTCCACCACTTCTTCCTGATTTCCTCCTCCACAGGAATCTGGTTTGTTCTCTCCCACAGTTCGTTGTTACTGATGGTGTCTGGCCAACAAGTACGAAGTATTTTGCGTAGACAACTGTTAATAAACACTTGTATCTTCTGGATGATGGCTTTCGTAGTTCTCTAGGTTTCCACTCCATACAGTAGAACTGTCTTGACATTTGTATTGAAAATCCTGATTTTAGTTTTGGTTGAAAGTTGTTTGGAGTTCCAGACATTTTCAACTGTAGAAATGCAGTCCTTGCTTTGCCGATCCGCGCCCTCTCATCTGCATCCGATCCACCTTGGTTGTCGATGATGCTGTCAAGATATGTAAAGGTGTTAACGTCCTCCAAGGCATCTCCATCAAGAGTGATTTGGTTGGTGCATGTTGTGTTGCATCGGAGAATTTCGCTCTTTCCTTTATGTATGTTGAGACCTACTGCTGCAGAGGCTGCTGCTACACTGGTCGTCTTCTCTTGCATTTGTTGTTGAGTGTGCGATAGAAGAGCCAAGTCATCTGCGAAGTCCAGATCGTCCAGCTGCGTCCGATCTGTCCATTGAATACCGTGCTCCCCTCCAGATGCTGACGTCTTCATAATCCAGTCGATCACCAGGAGAAAGAGAAAGGGTGAGAGTAAGCAACCTTGCCTGACACCGGTCTTCACCTCGAACGAGTCTGTTAGCTGTCCTTCGTGTACGATTTTGCAGTTGAATCCATCATAAGAATTCCATATGATGTTGACTATTTTCTCAGGCACACCGTAGTGTCGAAGAAGCCTCCGCAGTGTTTTCCTATCCACGCTATCAAATGCCTTCTCGTAGTCGATGAAGTTGATGTAGAGTGGTGAGTTCCATTCAATTGATTGTTCCACAATGATCCGTAGTGTAGCAATTTGGTCAGTACATGATCGATCCTTACGAAATCCGGCCTGTTGATCTCGAAGTTGGACGTCTACGAAGTCCTTCATTCTGTTTAACAATACCCTGTTGAAGACTTTGCATGGTATTGAGAGAAGAGTAATGCCTAGGTAGTTCTCACAATTGCTCTAATCACCTTTCTTTGGTATTTTGATGAGGTATCCTTCTTTCCAAACTGATGGTACTTGTTCCTCATCCCAAATCTTCTTAAAGAGAATATGAAATATTTTCGCAGTTGCTTCCACATCTGCTTTGATTGCCTCTGCTGGAAAGTTGTCTGGTCCTGCTGCTTTGCCGTTCTTGACTTGTCTGATGGCCATACTGATCTCCTCAATCGTAGGTGCGCCAATATTAATTGGGAGGTCCGTGGATGCTGCGTCAATGTTGGCTAGATTCAGTGGAGCTGGTCGATTCAATAGTTCCTTAAAGTGCTCTACCCACCTATTTCGCTGTTGTTCAGTGTTGCTGATTACTTTGCCTTCCTTGCTTTTCACTGGTCGTTCTGGTTTACGATAGTTTCCGGCCAGCTTCTTTGTTGTTTCGTACAATTGTCTCAAGTTTCCGTCTCTTGCAGCCTTTTCCACCGTCATTGCTAGATCTTCCACATATTTTCGTTTGTCAGCTCTGATGCTCTTCTTCACTTCCCTGTTTGCTTCTGTGTATTCAGCTTGTGCGGTAACTTTCTCCGCTCTTGTTCGGCTGACATTCACTGCTGCCTTCTTGTTCCTCCTTTCTTCAATTTTTTCAAGTGTACCAACAGGCATCCACTCCTTATGATGATACTTCTTGTGACCCAGAACTTCGTGACATGTTGAAGCGATTGCCTCCTAGATCCCTTTCCAACTGTTCTCCAATGTTGTGTCCTGTCTGTTGAGTAGATCCTGAGAGGCCTGGAACCTATTGGTGAGGGCTATCCTGAATTCGTTGAGCTTTACAGTATCCCGAAGAAAGGCCGTATTAAACTTGTATGATGCTATCTGTCCCCTTGTCCAGTACTAAAATAATACATCAACCAATAACGGTAAAGGATTTTCCGGGTGGGGAATGTAATCTTAAGGTCAAGTGATCAGCCAATGCTCGAAAACATAAATTCCAAAACTGGGACCTTGATCAAATGAGTTCTGGGGATCTAACGTCCCCAACAATAACAGACAATATGTACCAGTGATTACTTTGATAAGAGCTCCTTATAAGCTATCAAGGAATAAGTTCATTGTCAGTAATTTCTGAGAAGTTTTAGAACTGTTTAGAGAACTAGTACTTTCAAGATTCGGATGTAGGTGATATGCGTTATGATGAACGGTGTCTCAGATTTGAACATGATACATGCTAACCACCCCTGTCAAAATGATTACTTAAGATAGAAGATAACAGTGGAAGAGAAATTTCATTTAGCTACGAAATATAATGTTAAGCTTGTCAACACGTAGTATACACAAGGAATAATTTAAGCCCAACTTATTTATAATTTATCTGTTATCGTACAAAAATATGTAACAATGTGAAACATCACTTATTTACAACAGATAATATAGTAAGTGCATTAAAACCTATTCAATAAATAGTTGGAAGCGAATTTTCCACATACTTAAAAGTATGTCACTATGTTTTTGATATAATTAAAGGATTTGTGAGTTTGAGATGGTGAAGAAAATTTGTAGTTCAGGTGGATGATTGTGATGGAGTGTTGTTTTCTGGATTGAATGTTTTCGTAGTGGAGCATTTGTAGTGAATGAGAACACAGGTGAGGGCAACCGGATTGTATTTAACGAAAATTACACAGTTACTCAGTAAAATAGGAAAACCATATATCGTAAACGGTTAATTTGCATATCTTCAATCCATCATCAATCCATTGTCTGACATTTCACTATTCATGCGTTTCATACAAATTCCATTGCGTTTCCACTCTTCCTTTCTCTTGATCTTCCCCTATCTTCTGCTGCCAGACATTACGTTTTTACTCGCGTCATATACTACTTATAAGTAGCTCACACCACACATTCATTGTTCTTCTTCTGAACAACATTATCAACAGCACAAACTTCTTCAGATAGAAGTGAAGTATTCGAATTTCTCCACGTATGACTCGTAGTTTCTTCTGTTGACCTCAAACTTGATTGGTTTTTATTGACCTTAATCAATCAATCAAGTTTGAGGTCAATAGAACAAACTACAAGTCATACATGGAGAAATTCGAATAGTTCACTTCTTCTACCTGAAGTTTGTGCTGTTGATGTTGTACAGAAGAAGAAGAATGAAAGCTCCACTACGAAAACATCCAGCCCAGAGAACGAAATTCCATCAGAATTTATGAGTTTCTAAATTCAAATTGCCCGTTTATCAAAATTACCATTCATACAAATATCCAATTTTTGGATATCAACTTTATAACAGTTTGTTAAATCATAAAACCGAACTACCAACGAGAATCTTATCCAGTGTTAAAAAGTATCATACAAACGTACATCAGTTCATGTTGTCATACCACATTAGCACAGAGATGTAATTGTCAATTCAAATCCAATAGTAGTAGAGGTAGTAAATGTATTAGCAGTGGTCGGACAAGTTAGGATCAGAAGATATTATTCAAGAAGTAGAATCTAGTGAAACCTTAAGTTGAGGTGAGATAACCTTAACTCTCACTGATCCATCTATCTGCAAACCGTCTTCAGTTCCCCAATCTTGAATTCGGATGAGAGAGCACAGCACACAAGCTAGTTACCATATTCCAGGCAATCAGTATATTTGTCTTGAACAGTTGTTCGTTTATACACATGAATTATCAAACTGTGAGATACATCACAAATAAGAAATAATAACCTACGATCGGGTTTTCATTGGCGAAGAACAGATCAACCGGTACACAATTAATTAATGATAACTAATGATGACGATAAACTATACAAAACAAGTCAATAGATCCAAATTAAAGCTTACAATACTGGAAAAGTATGTTGAGGCATAATAGGAATTAGACAGTAAAGATAGAACAATAGTTCGTGAATTAATTCCGAAAGATACAACATTCCAAGTTTTCAATTATGTGGATAGGACAACGCTATGGAGGATTCTTCGACATTGCAGCGTGCCTAAAACGATAGTTAACACCATACAGCATTCCCATGATGGATTAAACTGTAAAATTGTGTACGGAGGACAGATGACAGACTCGTTCAAGGTGAAGACCGGTGTCAGGCAAGGAAGCTTACTCTCACTGTTTCTCTTTATCCTGTTGATCGAATGAATTATGAAGACGTCAACATCTGACAGTTCCCATTGTATGGGTCGGAAACTTGGAGAACTACAAAAGCCATCATCCAGAAGATACAAGTGTTTATTAACAGTTGTCTACGCAAAATACTTCGGATTCGTTGACTAGACACTATCATCAAAAACCTACTATGAGAGAGGACGAACCAAATTCTAGCGGAGGAGGAAATCAGGAAGAAGTGCTGCAAGTGGATAGGATACACATTGAAGAAAGCACCAAACTGCATCACAGGAAAATCCCTCACTTGGAACCCTCAAGGTCAAACGAAAAGAGGAAGGCCAAGAAATAGAGATAGACATCAGAAGAAAGAACAACAACTGGACAGAACTGGAAAAGAAGGCTGAAGATAGAGTAGGTTGGAGAATGCTGGCCGGTAGCTTATAATCCATTGGTTGTAATAGGCGAAAGTAGGCAAGTAAGTATTTACTCAGTCCCAGTAAGTGTAGTCATATTTTTCCATTGAACATCAGTGAATAGAAAAAGAAAGAAAGCATAAAGCAACTTAAAATCTAGAACAATTATGAATAGGGACAAATAGTTATTCCAGATGTAACCTTTGTACCGAGTACAGATTTATGTACACACTTGGTTCAGATTACATTTAACGTGTGACCGGCTAGTTGCCTCCAAAATCAAAATAGTGAAATTCAAATCTGCAACTAAACAGGTTGAAAATTAAATACTCTAACCACTGGTCTACTACTTGCTTCTACTACTCTGTTAACGGGACATAGATTGGATGAAAGCATGATTACGTTGTTATTGCATGCTGATTGGCTCTTCCGTATCATATCAGCGCTAATCGATACTGACGGAACATTCTAGAATCTTCTCATGTAAGAAAACTATAAATATACTGACCTAATGTCTTCCATCTAACTTTATTATTGGAATGTAATCTCTATTTCTTGTTCAATCACGTTCTGATTTTCGGGAGAATGTCTCAAGTGTATTGGTGTCCGAGAATACTAAGCATTAGGAATAGCTGGGTTGTAATAGTCAGTCAGTTGCAATGTCGAACTTCGTACATATGTACATAAGTTCATTTTGCCATAACACATTAGCACAGAGATGCAAATGTCAAACCAAATCTCATAGTGATAAAGAGAGTAGAGGTATTAATGGTAATGAAGAATATTAGGGAGCGAAGGTATTATTCAAGAAGTATAATTCAGTGAGATAAGGTTAGAAATACAAAGGTAGAAGTGCTGACGAATCCAGAAGATTAGGATTTGAGAGATCACAACGAATGGATACACTTGCGCCATTGCAAACGATTCTGAGCCCATTCAAAGTCTCTAACCATTGGTGACTTTCGTCTCGCGGACCCCAACCAGGTAACCTACATCTACCAACATGACTCAGTCCACTTGTCAGTGACTTCATGGATTTCTGCCATGTTTTGGTCTGGCCGCCCCTAGCTTTCTTCCGACCTGCTCCCACACCACAAAAACATAGCTCGTCGCGGCAGTCGGTGGTTAGCCATACGTAACACATGTCCCAACCACCTCAACTGATGAAGTTTCACCACTTCATCTATTGGGTTGTAATAAGAAGAGAATTATAACAATTACACAAACAGAAGAAAATATAACACTCTTAAATATATATAGATATTGTATAGAACATTACCTCCAACTGTTCCATTAAATGTTCCGATAAAGTTTGATTTAAATGTCCAATTTCAGAGATTTTTTGAGCTACTTGATGCAATTCATCTTTTTCTTGTGTTAAATGTCGATATAACATTTGATTTTCTGCATCAAGTGTACGTAATTCATTTTCAGTGAAATTTTCGCTTTCTTCTTGTTGTTGTGATGTTGATAATTTATGAAATGTTTGATCATTTTGATTATGATTAGTACCACGTTTTTTCAACTTGCTATCAGTATTCTCATATTTATTGGATGATTTTAAATAATCAGTGATATTTGTACCGGAAGCTGAAGCAGCAGCAGCAGCAACAACAGATCGTACACCAGTGGCAAGATTCCCTGATAATTCTACAAGACGTTGTTGTCGCTTGATCTATGAATGACGCATAAAGAAATAATAAGAAAACTCTTGAAAAAAAAAACTCAAAAATAACAGAATCAAAAAGAAGAAGGGTTACAACTTGAGTAATTTAATTTTTAAATTATAGAGTATTGAATATGAATTGGTGAGAAAATAATGAAACCAGAGTCAAACAGAAGGAGGTGAAATACTGGTACACGAAATGGTAACCGATTCAGTCGATCAGTCAGCTACAACGTACAACTTTGTACATACGTACTTAAGTTCAAGTTGTCATGCTACGCTACCACAGACAAACACACAGAGATGTCATTGTCAAATGAATGAAATGATGAAATTTTCGGAGTCTTAGTGAGAACCCGTGACAGGTGGAGTTCAATCCTGTCGTGTGTAGGCAGTCAATATCAAAGACGAATGGGTGAGGTCGCGCAAAATCTCTAGATTGATCACAGTTGGTTGCCGACCCAGAGGTCTCGAGGTTAAACCGTTTGCACACCAGATCGAAGGTTCTAGGTTCGAACCCTGAGAGTAGCAGGAGTCGTGGATGAGCGTTGTTCATGAGTCCTCAAACCAGGATGAAACGGCCGTCCTTGGCTTACAGGTTTCTAATGGTGGTCTAATAATGATTGACTCATGATATCAATTTGTAAAAACACAAAGATCTCCATAGGTCTAATCGAATAATAAATGCTATACAATCTGTAATAAACAACTCACTTCACTTTCACGTAATTTTTTTAAAGAATCCAATTCATCACTTAGCAATTTATGAATTGTTAAACGATGTGATATAAGTTGATTTTTACAATCACTATTACCAACATCATTACTAATTGATTTTGTAGTTTTATCCATTTTACTACTATTATCATTTTTAGTAGTATATATTAAATCTTTCAATTGTGCCAACAATAATGTACACTGATCAATGAGAACAGTAACATTTTCTGTTAATTCAGCATGTAAACGTTGTTTCATTGTATTGCCTAAAGTACCAGCTGTTAGCTGATGAATACGTTTTAAATAAGTAGATAAAATTTTCAAACTTGAATGTAAACTTTCAGCACGTGTATGAAATGAAAATTCATAAGTAGTATCGGAAATGTCCATCTTCTTTTTCTTAGTCTCATCTGCATCGGAAATAGATGATAAGTTTGAAGATGTTGGTCTGATGGATGAAACAAGTGATGTGAATAATGGAGAAATATCACGGGACATGATGATGATACTGATTGATCATTGATCACAAATCAAAATCTAAAAACAAATGAAAATGTTAGAATTTGTACAAAATAAAACTAGTGTCATCATTAAAACAAGTATTGTTCTAAACTATTAAGGACTGATTATTGGATGAAATGACTAAGAATTAATCACAATGCATTGAATCTTCAGTTTACCATTGATCTAAAATTCTCAATATACCATTTATACATGATAGTCACTTAAACGAAACGTTGGACATGTACATTAGTTCAAGCTGCTATAACTCATTAGTACAGTGAGACCAAATCGATAAACTCTAATTGGAATATGATATGCTGAATGGATTATCTACCGATTTAACGGAATTTACTTACAGGTAATTTAAATGTTTTGATATCGTTTGAACGAGTGCTTTACATTGAAGTTGTGAATCAGTCATTGTTAGAGAACAATTAGAAACTCAGAAGTACTGGAAAGTTGTTTCGTCCTCGTATCGGACTCATCAGTAGTGAGACCCTGCTACTCATAGGAGTCGAACCTAAGACCTACAGTCTAGCATGCGAATGCTTAACCTCCTCTACATCGCCGAACAGGCATCCAACGATGTTAATTTCTAACTTTTATCAGTCTAAGGATGTACCTATAAATTTTAGTTTGAACAAGGTTCCATATAGAAATGAAATTCAGAAATATCTTGTAACAAATGTTTCACTATACCTCTTTGATACAATTTATGAAATATCTTTACACCTAGTTTACAACTATCGACTACATTCAATGACTCTTCCATACTCCATAATCAGAATACAACTGGATAATGGAATCAAACAGAATTACAAATAACATCAACTCAACAAAATGTAGACATGATTCAAAGTTTTGATCTGAATTAACCCGAAAAGAATCTAAAACACCGTACAATGTGAGCACTAGTTACTAGCTTTATGAGGAAATTCTCGGAGTTCTAATGAGAAGACGTGACCAGTGGAGTTCAAGCCTGTCGAGTGTAGGTAGTAAATACCAAAGACAATGGGTGCGGCTGCGTTTAGACAATAACACAGTTGGATGCCGGCCTAGTGGTTCAGGGGTTAAACGTTCACACACAAGACCAAAGGTCCAGGGTCAGAATCCTGCCAGTAGCAGGAGTTGCGGATGCCCACTACCACTGATGAATCCCATACCAGGACGAAACGGCCGTCTTTTAGTGCTTCCAGGTTTCTAATAGTGGTGTAACAATGATTGAATGATGATTTCAGCATGTAAAATAACTAAATCAGTTGAACCAGTGAATGAAAACTTATTCAATTTAAATGCTGACATATCGAACTGGATTCGATCAAGTTCAAAATCCTTAGGCTTTTATTCCTGACGTAGTGTTTTGCATTTTAAAAAAACGATGCGACAAATTGCCCATCGGTTAGATTGTCTTAAAAATTGATCTAAGTAACAGCATATAATGCTGTTATAAGAAAATCAATAAACCAGTAGTATATGTAATACATATGTCCATATCTGTGCACTCAGTCAATCAAGCAGCTATAACATAGAACTTGGTATGTACATCATTTCAAGTTTCCATACCACATTACCACACAGACAGATCGAATTGTCATTCCCAAATCTCATAGCGGTAGATGTAGTAGAAGTATTAGCGGTAATGGAGAAGATTAGCAATCGAAGATATCATTCGAAAATAATATACCAGAGGAATCAGTGTAAAATGAGAGAGAGAGAGAGGAAAACTGGTTACGAGGAATTCAAAAGACAATATCTGTCCCTAAAGATAAAATAATCTTGTTAGGATATTCATCCAATATCCTAATAGAATTATTGGTCAATTCCTACTGGTCAATTTTATGGTCGTCCTAGATATCAATGTCACTTGCTCCAATGTTGTTTCTTATTGGTTGACCTGACTATCAATGTCACTTCAAATGTTGCTTCCGATTGGTCGTCTTAACTTTCAATGTCACAGAATTCGATGCTGTTTCTTATTCGACCTAAATGTATAAATACGCATTATTTGTAACATTTTATGAGTAGGAACAGGACCTGGTCCCGGATCCCTAGTCCGGCATCCTGATTCTCTTCTGGACTCGGACTTCGTACTTTCTGGATGCTTGTAGAATACAGGTTCTACTTCATATCAAGTCTTGTCTTCTTATTTTGACTAAATATGGGGGGGGGGGGGTTGGAATAATCGGGACTGAGTAGCATGTCGTGTCGCCGGATCTTCGATCCTCGCTCTCGCGTTTCCGACTAGGTAAACCCGCAATAGTTCAAGTATATATCAAGATGACGTGTTTACGTGTAGGCGTAACAAATGTAAACTGTACCAAACCGATCACCAATCAGATTCAATCATTAAGTTGTACACATTCATTAGTAACAGTCAAATATATACAGAAAAACAAAATCCTTAATACATAAGCTACTACTCACAGTGCAAATTTATCCACAAACACACTTTCTAATTTCACTGGAAACAAAAAAACACTTTCCAAAATCCAACAGCTAATCAATCAGTCAACAATCATTGAATGTACACACACGCACTAACCAACACACACACACACAAATAAGAAAACTCAAATTAAATCAATAAATTTTATCTGACAAACATTTCCCATTGAAAAAAACTCTATTTACAAAGTACATAAACAAATTAATCATTAACATGAGATTGTGGAAAGGAGGTGGTAAACAGAAGCAAAGGGGCAAGAATGAATCCAGAACTTGAGAGGTCACATAAATCGATCAGCATTGTCATATATATATATATATATATATATATATATATATATATATATATATCCTTTTCTTTCATTTAACATTACTCGTTCCAGCAATCATCTGATCATTTTCCACAGTATTATCCTGATTGTTATCATCAGCAGCATCATCATCGACAACAGTAGCAGACGTTACAGTCGCAGTCGTGGTAGTAGTAGTCGGAGTAGCAGTGGCAGACGTCGCAGTCACAGTCGTGGCAGTAGTAGTAGTAGTAGCAGTCGTGGTCGAAGTAGAAGTAGTAGTAATAGTAGCAGTAGTATCTTCTAAAGGTTTATCCTTATTGACAGAATAATCAACAATTATTGTTTCATCTTGTTCTAATCGTTCAATTAAATAAACACGACATGTGGAATTATTTTCAAAAAGCTACAACAACAACAAGAAATAAACAGGAAGAAAATAGATTATTGATTATAAGAAAAATGGTACAGTTTTAGTCGTTATTATAGAATGAAACAGCTGATAAACTGTAACTTAAGAAGATTATTGATTTTCGTTGAAATGATGAGTCGATCACCACCAACCAACCAACCAACCATTAGAAACGTGGACGACCGTTTTGTCCTACTGTGTGGGACTCATCAGCCGTTGGATGATAGCGCAATGGTCTAGAGGAGGTTGAGTGTTCGCTAGCGAGACCAAAGGTCCTGCGTTCAATTCACGCGGGCGGAGTCATGGACTCCTACTGCTAGTGAGTCCCTTACCAGGATGAAACGGTTATCCAGTGCTTTTCGGTTTCTAATGGTTGTGACCAATTCATCAGTTCAATGAATTCGATTAGGCTGAGTAAGTAAATGTAGACTACTTGATTACAAACTGCTAGATTATCATATCACTAACAGTTAGAGACCTTGTACGAGATGGCTCAGAATCGTTTGCAATGGCGCAGGTGCATCCACTCTTTGTGTTCTTTTTAATTCTAACCTTCTGAATTCCTCATAATCTCTATCTTTCTCTTTCTAAATTTATCTCACTGAACTATACTTCTCGAGTCATTTCTTCACTCCCTAATCTTCTCCATTACTGCTAATACTTCTACTATCAATATCACTCTTGGATTTCAACTGACTGTTACGTCTCTGTGCTGATGAGGTATGGCAACCTGAACTGATGTACTTATGTACGAAGTTCTGCGTTGTATTTGTCTGTCTGTCTGTCTGTCTGTCTGTCTGTATACATTCATGATTTTTTTTACAAAAAATAAAACACTTATTTGGCAAACTTATTCTCTCTTTTTGAGTTATACTGTGTATATGATTAATCTTTAATAACGCTTTTGATATCTTTAGTAATTTCACTGCTGTAGTAATTGATTTGGGGTGATTTACAACTTAGCTGTGCTGATGTGGTATAGGAACTTCTACAGATACATACATGTATGCTAAGTCCTAAATAACTTGTAAATAAGCAAAGGTGTACGAATAGTAGTGATAGTAGTATCAATGATCGTAAGATTTAAAAAAGGAATGAATATATAAGTAGGAAAAAATTTTTTATGAGATACTACTGAAACTCACAATTAGGTAAGAGATAAATGATGAACATACGGGGATTATAATATCTAGGTAATGCAGAAAACTACAAGGCTACTGCATGACCTTTGAACAAATAATTTGCTCTAATCTATCAATGGTCAGAGTATTTGTTTATTCCTACCCTGAAAATTCTCATCATGCGTGTATTAGGTAAATGAAACATGTAGAGGATTGTGGTGTACCTGGGGTATCGAGTAATTTGGATTAGTATCTACAGTGTAATTAGGGATACTACTCTTAACTCAGGTTTCATATGGTCGAAAAATGAAAATTTCGGAAACGCGAAAAAACGCTCATTACCCGACATGAGACAAAGGTAATAGAAGTGTTTGGGCCTATTTGCATCAAGCTGGGATGCCTCTTCTACTATCCTACGCCATATACGTGTACATCATATGCTATACTGCTATATAGAGATGAAGGTCTCCTATGAGACTAGAGGTTCGCTGTGAATATTGTGGATGGCTTGGCTTTGCTTTGGTAAGCATTGTTAACAGTCCATATACAAAATTGGTTAGCAGGGTGACCGATTTCATTGATATAGGTGGTTGTTTTGCGACATTTCCGAGGGGCATTGTCATTAGGGTGCTGTATCACATATCACCATTGCTAATAATAATGAGTTTGACAGTCATGTAAGCGGGATGGGTCGAAATGGCCTATTCATGCGGTGCATGTTGATTGATACGATCATTGATCGGAAATATATATATATATATATATATATATATATCATTGTGTGTATATGAAACGGTGTGAATGGTCCACCAGGGTATCAGGTACCCGTGTGGTTGCACCACAGGATTGAGCAGAACTGTTCATGTAGTAATGGTAAAACGTGTCCAGTCTCTTTGGTTCTCCTGAAAACCACCAATGTAAAATTGCCCTAAACAATACAGGGTAAATTTATATAATAAATATAATAATCTACAGTGTAATTAGACAGAAATAACAATGACAATTTACTTGATAAATAAATAGAGAGAGAGAAAACACCCTGATAAAAAAACAAATCTTACAACAAAAACAATTGAACGATCTCCATTTGTTGTCAGCTTGATAGCATGCCATGGTAATGCTTCAATATTTCTATGTGTAATAAATTCGGAAATATTTTTTCTTGGCCTGAAAAAAAATGTATACAAGTGTAGTAGTATGGTGCGCGCTATTTATAAGTAGTATATGACGCGAGTGAAAACGTGATGTCTGGCAGCAGAAGATGGGAGAAGATCAAGAAAGTAAGAAGAGTGGGAACAATGGAATTTGTATGAAACGCATGAAAAGTGAAATGTCAGACAATGGATTGATGATGGATTGAAGATGTGCAAATTAACCGTTTACGATATGGTTTTCCGATTTTACTGAGTAACACTGTAATTTTTGTTAAATACCATTCGGTTGCCCTCACCTGTATTCTCCTTCACTACAGTAGGAGCAGGTGAGCAGGTGAGAGTATGAGAGGTTAACATCACTATATTGAATAACAATAATAACAATAGCAACAATAAGATGGGAAATTAAGATGAAATAACAAAGTGACTGTTTGTGCTTTTTCTCCAGTTCTCGCGGTATACTATGCATGTCACCTTTAAAACAATTGATTTGGAATGACAAAGGGCCCCATATTTTCTCCACAGTGAATTAAATAGCTCAGTCAATCAGTCATAACGTGGAACTTCGTACATGAGTATATACGTTCAAGTTGTCATATCGCTTTAGCGCAGAGACGCAACTGTCAGTTTAAATCCCACCACGTCTAGGCTCAGTTGTCGTCGCGCTCGAATAATCGACCTCTTCCAGTAGGGATAGGTTTCGTATATCTCGGTTGATCTCTACGGTGTCTGTCTTCAATAGAATCGTTCTGTCTCGGCCATCCGTAGCACAATTGACCTGTCTAACTATAGCTTTCGATCGTGAAGCTTTCATTACTTCTTTGAACAATATCATCAGCATGTAGGGTTTATAAATATGTAAAGCCAACATGGCTTGTTCTAGTCTTTGGATAAATTCATCTCAATCTATTTCTTGATACACTCGCCAACTGATATGCTTGAAATATTACGAGTTCACCTCACACAACGGTAAACGGAACGAAATCAATGATTCAGTGACACGATAGGCTACTGTAATCCGATCGTCCCAGGCCCTACTAACTAGAGGAAGAAGTCTTGATAAGACGTAGAGAATGTGTATTCCACAAACACACACCTTAAGCTTATTTATACAATGATAGAAACACCCTTGGGAGAGCCACAAATTAGTGTACTAAAATCATCCATCAACGAATGACAGTCAAGGATTTTCCGAGTGAGCATAGTAAGCTGAAGGTCAAAATAGGCGTCTTTGGCGCGAAAATATAGAAATTCAAAAATTAGGACCTATTTCATGTGAGTTCTGGGGATCTAACGTCCTCAACAGTTTCTATCCCCATATATCCCCACATATCTATGTCCCAATGAAATCAAATATTCACCATATGTCAGTTTTAAAGAAGGACAATAATGATAATAATAATAATAATTAACTTACATATTTGTTTTAAATGAATCATTGACAATTGAAGCAATTGTATTTGTTGACTGGACTATGCCGCCGGTAGAATTCTCAACACTATTCAATACATCACGAATTGGTACCATGACAAGCCAACTATGCATTAAATCACCACCGTGTACTGATGGTATCGGCGGAGATGAGGATAAAACGTCATCTATGTTTTTACTACTACTACCACTGCCACTAGTACTACTACAACCAATATTGATTTTGTATGGTGATCGTCGTATGGATGCAGTTCTGCAGTGTTTTGAACGACGTGATACTAGTAATAATAGTATTTGAGATGTATAAAATTGCACATCTTGTAGTTCGTATGGTCTAGAAAAGGGTGTGTTTGTGTGTGTGTGTGCGTGTGTGTTTGTGTATATACGAAAATAGGAAAGAAACCAAAAAAAAGTTATGATTGAATTTCACTGTCGCGAGAATAATAGATTCTGGTGAATAATTATGATGGAGTTTCGTTCTTTGAAGTTTGTGTTCAGAAAATTAATAATCAAAGCTCTACGACTAAACCATTCACCTGAGAGAACAAAAAAGTTCATTGTAAAAGATGGAAGACATGACTAGTGCACAGTCAGTCAGTGAGCTACAACGTGGAACTTTGTACGTACGTACGTACATACATCAGTTCAAGTTGTTATACCGTAGGAAGGATTTCGTTCTGACCAATTTAGTCCCATGTGCTAGTACGAGTATGTGAGCGGATGTCACTTCCCGGCTGCCCACACCTGTAAATGAAGTTAGATTGACGTTCATCTTAGAGACCTGGGAGAGTGACCGCAGAGCCCAAAAGATAATTGCTAAGGTCCGATCACACAAGGCATGTTTATGAGAAGTTTTTTTAAGTGTTAGCTCCGTTCTTTTTGAAAGACCTTACCGTAGGAGACGGAAATCCGTGATGTAAGGTGGTGAGGTGTGACATTTTTTAGATAGACCTTTTCTAACCTCTCCCTTCCTTACGAGAAGGTAGCATCATTGCAGATGCTGACTATTTGAGGGAAAAACCTTACTGATATCATACCTCTCTACAGTCAGAAGTACGACTTCACCCTCAGATTTTGAGTTGCTAGTTTTAGTCTTATTGTTCTCCAGTTGACCTGTCTGGCATATGGTAGGACCCTGAAGGAAAATATGTTCCACAAAACTGACTACCATATCAAGGTAGCAGCTACGGTCATGTTATCATTTCTAGTATACCTAACAGTGTGATATAATTAAATCATCAAAATAAAGTATGACGTTGATAATTTAGAAAAAAACGAACAGAAACCTACAAATGTGCAGGATTAGAATCGCCAGGTATTGTATCCAAAAATAATTCAACACCATTCATTATTCTAAAATAAATAATGTATACATGAGAATAATAAGACAATAGAATAATACATTATGAGTAAGTATACATTATTGATTGTCAAAGTTTAATCATGAAGCAAGTGCCAGATAGTCAGCCACTTACGATGACCTTTGCTTTTTACGTTGAAATCATAAATCAATCATTTTTAGACCATCATCGGAAACCTAGAAGCACTGGATGGCCATTTCATCCTGGTACAGGACTTATCAGTGGCAATGCACATCCACGACTCCATCAATTCGTAGGATACGAACTCAGGGTTTTCGGTCTTGAGTGCGAACGCCAAACCCGCAATGCTGGTCTAACAATGATTGATTGGTGATTTCAGAGTGTTAAAACACTGATTTTCATAACTCTAATTGAAATGAGTGGTACATGTGGAATTTCACAACTCCATCGAATTGACAGTAACAAAAAAACACACACTTCATAATTGGATTTTAAAAAGATATACACCCAATTAGGAAATCAGGAAGAAGCGGTGGAAGTGGATAGGACGCATACTGCGAAAAGCACCCAACTGCGTCACACACAAGACAAGCACTCACTTGGAACCTTCAAGGTCAAAGGAAAAGAGTGAGGCCAAGAAACACATAACGCCGAGAAATAGAGAAAGATATGAGAAGAATGAACGAAAATTGGACAGAATTGGATAGGAAAGCCCAGAACAGAGTAGGTTGGAGAAGGCTGGTCAGCGGGCCTATGCTCTATTGGGGGGTGACAGGCGTAAGTAAAATAAGCAAGTGTATACTCAATAAAAATTCAATTCAGTCGTGAGTGGCACAGAGACGCAATTTCGCTATCTATATTATTTATTTATACCACATAGAGTATATAATTCAGCCTGGCACTTCCCTGTGGTGATTGCCAACCGCGAACCCGGATTCGAGGGAGGAGGAGGGTTGGGCATGAGGTAAGCAACTCCATCCTGTAAAAAACTAATTCGCTAAAAATAACTCTAACCAAGCCCCAGAGGGGTATAAACAAATAATACAGATTGAGAAATCGTACCGCTGTATTACTGACGACTGAATTGAATTTTTCAAAATTTTAATTGAGTATATGCCTGTTTAAAATCCAATTATAAAGTGCGTATTTGTTTGTTAATGTCAATTCGATTGAGTTGTGAAATTCCTCATGTACCACTCATTTCATGATGTAAAGCAAATTTTTTCAATTCGATTTATGAAGATCAGTGTTTTAACACGTTGAAATCAACAATCAATCATTTTTAGACCAGCATTTAGAGGTTAGGCGTTCGCGCACAAGACCGAAGGCCCTAGGTAAGGATGGCAGATTAATAGATGAAGTAGTGAAACTTCATCAGTTGAGGTGGTTTGGGTATGTGTTACGAATGCTCAACCATCGACTGCCTCGTCGAGCTATGCTTTGTGATGTATGAGTAGGTTGGAGGAAAGCTAGGGACCGCCAAACCGAAGCATAGCACAAATACATAAAGTTACTGACAACTGGATTGAGTCATGTTGGTAGGTGTAGACTACTTGGTTGGGGTCCGCGAGACGAAAGTCACCAATGGTTAGAGACCTTGAATGACATAGCTCAAAACCGTTTGCAATGGCGCAGGTGCATTCATTCTTGGTGTTCTTTCAAATGAAGGACTTCGTTGACGCCAAACTTCGAGATCAACAGACCGGATTTCGTAAGGATCGATCGTGTACTGATCAAATTGCTACATTACGGATCATTGTGGAACAATCCATTGAATGAAACTCACCACTCCACATCAACTTCATCGACTACGAGTAAGCATTCGATAGCGTGGATAGGATAACACTGTGGAGGCTTCTTCGACATTATGGTGTGCCTGAGAAAATAGTCAACATCATACGGAACTCTTATGATGGATTCAACTGCAAAATCGTGCACGGAGGACAGCTAACAGACTCTTTCGAGATGAAGACCGGTGTGAGGCAAGGTTGCTTACTCTCACCCTTCCTATTTCTCCTGGTGATCGAGTGAAATATGAAGACGTCAACATCTGGAGGAAAGCACGGTATTCAGTGGACAGCTAGGATGCAGATGGACGATCTGGACTTCGCAGATGATCTGGCTCTTCTATCGCACATGCAACAACAAATGCAAGAGAAGAAGACCAGTGTAGCAGCAGCCTCCGCAGCAGTAGGTCTCAACATACATAAAGGAAAAAGCGAAATTCTCCGATGAAACACAACATGCACCAACCAAATCACTCTGCCTTGAAGGACGCTAAGACATTTACATATCTTGGCAGCATCATCGACAACCAAGGTGGATCCGATGCAGATGGGAGGGCGCGGATTGGTAAAGCGAGGGCTGAATTTTTCAATCGAAAAGCATCTGGAACTCCAAACAACTTTCAACCAAAATCAAAATCATGATTTTCAATACAAATGTGAAGACAGTTCTACTGTATAGAGCGGAAACTTGGAGAACTACGAAAGCCATCATCCAGTAGACACAAGTGTTTATTAACAGCTGTCTACGCAAAATACTTCGGATTCGTTGGCCAGACACCATCAGCAACAACCTAATATGGGAGAGAACAAACCAGATTCTAGTGGAGGAGGAAATCAGGAAGAAGTGGTGGAAGTGGATAGGACACACACTACGAAAAGCACCAAACTGCGTCACAAGACAAGCCCTCAAATGGAACCCTCGAGGCAAAAGGAAAAGAGGAAGGCCAAGGAATACATTACTCCGAGAAATAGAGAAAGATATGAGAGGAATGAACAAACATTGGACAGAACTGGAGAGGGAAGCCCAGGACAGAGTTGGTTGGAGAAAACTGGTGAGCGGTCTACGCTCCATTTGGGGGGTAACAGGCGTAAGTGCATAAGTAAGTTTGTCTTTTTCTTTCACTAGATTCTGCTTCATGAATAATATCGTTGAACCCTAATCTCTCCAATTACTGCTGATACGTCTACTACATCTACTACTATGGGATTTGAATTGACAATAGCATCTCTCTGTGTGCTAATGTGTTGGTATGGCAACTTGAACTGTTGTACGTACGTACATACGAAGTTCTACGTTGTAACTGACTGACTGTATAATCATAAAAAGTGCATAGGACAAGAAAAAAATCAACACCAATCAATAACCATGTAACAAACATACTTAAATTCAGATTTATCACCACTACCATTACTACAATCTATTTCAATTGTAAGTAGTGAATGAAAACTTGAATTTTCATCACCAATTGTATAAGCCATTAAAATACTTCCTGATTTATTATTACTATTACTATTACTACTATTATCATTGGTTTTTTTTGTTAGTAGTATTTGTGATGATTTCTGTTGATTGGTTTCATCGAAACAACAATGAATTATGCTAAAATGTACTCCACAATTTATTAAATTAGGTGATCTACGGAAAAAAATAGAATTAAAAAAAAGTAGGTAAGAGTTATGTAAACAGTGAGAATGAGAAACAATTGACAGTTGAATTAGTTTTAACATAAGTGTATGTGTGTGTGGGCAGTTGTAACAGAAAGCCGCTTGACATCTACACACACACACATACACTAACTGATTGTTGAGTGGATAGAGAGTGGAGTAGTTGAGCGTGTTGACCGGTGCACTTTTCTTGGGAGTATCGTCAGTACTGACAGCATGGTGTGTGACATATAACAGCACAAATACAGAAAGTCAACATGAGTCACTTATGGCGTAGGCGAGATATCTGTTTGTTAACCAACAGAAGGGTTTACTGCGCATCAGTCCGCTCCGTCCTACTTTGTAGCTGTGAAACATATCCAATAAGAAGCGAGGGTATTCGTAGGTTACAGTTATTTAGTCGTAGCTGTTTCTGAAGCATTACTCGCATATCTTGGGACCAAAGAGTAAGAAATGCAGTTGTTATGAAACGAGTACTAGGTAAGGATGGCAGATCGGTAGATGAATTGTTGAAACTTCACCAGTTGAGTTAGTTGGGATATATGTCACGAGCGCCTGACAACCAACTTCCTCGATGGGCAATGATTTGTAATGTGGGAGTAGGTTACAAGAAAGCTGGGGTGGGCCATGCAAAAACATGAAGTCACTCACAAGTGGACTAAGCCATGTTAATAGGTGTAGACTACCTGGTTGGTGTCCGTGAGACAACAGTAACTAATGTTGAGAGACCTTGAATCACATTGTCCAAAATCGTTAGCCAGTTCTTGGTTGCATTTTCAGTTATAATGAATAATACGATACTCGATTACCTGAATTAAACTAGCTAATATCATCTTTAAGAAGCTGTGACGTAATCTTTGAAAGCTGAGTAATTTCATCGTTAAAATTTCAGTCTATCAACCAGACGCTCAGTGTCATAAAGATATTCTTCAAGAGCATTACAATGTCTTGTTATAAAGTCTGATGAGTCAGGATCTTCTCTTACATATTAAATTTATATACAAATTCGTATTTTGTCTTCAGTATAATCATTTCACTAATAATGATGATATAAATCTACAGTTTTACTGTTATCAGTATGTGAAATGCACAACAGGGAACCTGAAAAATAAAATAGATTAGTGTTGGTCTTGGAGACCTGGAGCGCGACCGCAGAGTCCAAGGAACAACTGCTTGAGGCCGGTCACGTACGGCATTTTTATGAAAAGTATTTTGAGGATTAGCTCTGTTCTTAAAGGCCGTTAGTGGGCACCCCTACCCAAGGAGACGGAAATCCGTGAGTTAGGGGAGGTGTGACATTTTTGGGCCGACCTTTTCTAACCCTTCGTTCCTTGTGAGAAGGCAGCATCGCTGCAGATGCTGGTTGTCCGAGGGAAACACCTTACTTCTGTCTTACCCCTCTGCAGCAAGCAGTACCACTTCGCCCTCAGACCTTGGGTAGCTGCTTTTAGTCTCATCGTTCTCCAATCGACCTGCCTGGCATGGTAGAAACTTGAGGAACATATGTTCCAGCCAGTATAGCTCGGTTGGGTCATCACGATAGGCAAGTCCGACCACCACGTCAAGGTAGCAGCTACGGTCGAGTAGAAGACATTCGTAGGTTACTGGTTTTCGATCATAGGTGTCTTCGAAGCATTGCTCGTATATCCTGGGACAACCGAGTGAGCAACGCTGTTATTAGGAAACGGGTACTAGGTAAGAATGGCAGATCAATAGACGCAGTAGTGACACTTCATCAGTTGAGGTGGTTGGGACATGTGTTGCGTATGCCTAACCACCGACTGCCTCGTCGAGCTTTGTTTTGTAGTGTAGGAATAGGTTGGAAGAAAGTTAGGGGCGGCCATACCAAAACATGACAGAAATCCATGAAGTCATTGACGAGTGGACTTAGCCATGTCGGTAATTGTTGACTACCTGGTTGGGGTCCGCGAGATGATAATAATCGATGGCTAGAGACCTTGAATGACATGGCTCAAAATCGTTCGCAATCGCGCCGGTGAGTTTATTCTTTGTGTTCTCTCAAATCCCAATCTTCTGGGTTCTTCAACAACCCTAGTTTTGTCATTCTAAACTTTTCTCATTAAATCATACTTCTTGAATAATATCTTCTAATCCTAACCTCTCCGATTACTTCTAATACCCTTACTCACTCTTCAACTATTGGATTTGAATTGACAATTACATCACTGTGCTGATGTGGTATGGCGACATGAATTGATGTACTTACGTACGAAGTTCTACGTTGCATCTGACTGACTGACTGAAATGCACAATAATTCAATAAAACGCTGAACAAAAGAAAATTCGTGAGCACTTTTATTGAAATCAATAAATGTCTTATTGAAATAAAGAATCGATCAACGTTAGACCAGCGTAAAACATCAGGAATCATAACATGTCCATTTCATCTTACAGTATGGAACTCACCAGTGGCAGTATGCATTCATGACTCCCGCTACCCACAGGAATCGAACCAACGACCTTCCTGTCTAGCTTGTTAACGCTTAACCTCATCTAGATCACTGAGCCAGCGGAATCAGATGGTGTTCAACTCTAACTTTTGATTAATCAAACATGTCTTATTTCAACAAAACGATTCATAATTTTTTTGTTGTAAAAGAACCAATTTAAAGCATATGCTTAAGTATGATGATGGAATATGGTTTTTTATGCATCTAAGATAAATTGACAAGAGAACTTACACTCCAGTTAATAATATTTGTTGAGTTCGACCATTTATATCTAGGCAACCACGTGTGGTATTATTAGTCTGCAAGAAAGAAAAAGGAATTCAATGAAAGTAAAACATGATAAAATGGCCTGATTTACGATTAAATAAATAAATTCAGACTGAAAATGCAGAAATAACTCAAGATTTGACCATGTTTTCTCTGTACATTTTGACATTCACTGGAGTAATAGTTTCTCTTTGTTTCCGTCCGGCCTTGAATTTGCGACATGTGGAGCGGGGGGGGGTTCTACCAATTCGAATACCAAAGGTAACATTCATATCAGTGCTGAATTTATAAACTATAACTATTATAGTAACTAGTCAACCGCTGTACAGCTATCAGTATAGTTCAAAACAACAATCAGTGACTTTATGAACTGATACTATGATCCGGTTTGGTTGCCGTTTAAATGTTTCTAACATACTTTTATGTCAACAAGCATTAGGAATCTTACTTGATGAATGACAGGATATGTAACAAATTGTTAGGCTCGTCTCTAGGTATGCTTAAAACTGTTACGAGTTCACCTTAGTCGACTAACGAGAACAAAACAATGAACCAGCTTCCAGGTAGGCTACTGTGATCCGATTGTCCAAATTGTGCTAGCAAGAAGTGTTGATATAGCGTAGAAAGTGTATTCCACAAACACCCAGCCAGCACACAATGAATCCAAACACACAAATCGCGTTTATTTATACTCTATAGAGACGTTCTTGAGACAGTCACAAAAATAGCACACCAGAATACACAGTAGCCAATCACAGCCAATGATTTTCCTGGTGCGGGATGTGATCTCAAGGTCAACTGATCAGCCCATGAAATAAATCCAAAATAAAAATATTTATCAAGCGAGTTCTGGGGGATCTTACTTCCCCAACACAAATGTCCACACAACCTGAGATAAAAAAGACTCACAGACATATCAACCAATTAAACGTCTTTGTTGATAATCTTATAAATCTAAAATGAAGATTGCTAATTCAACGATAACAACATATGGCAACCTGAACTGATGTACGTAAGTAGGTACGAAGTTCTGCATTGTAACTGAATGACTGACATACAGCCGTAATACCTCAAAAGAACTATTGATCCAACTGTTGGGGATGTTAGATCCCTAGAACTCGCTTGATAAATGCCTTATTTTTGCATTTCACGTTTGCAAGCATGGGCTGATCAGTTGACCTTGAGATTTCAATTCCCACCAGGAAAATCCATGCCTGTGATTGGCTGCTGTGTATTTTAGTGTGCTATTTTCTTAACTGTCCCACTAGGACGTTTCTATGTTGTATAAATAAACGAGAGTTGTATGCTTGATTGTACTGTGGTTGCTGGGTGTTTGTAGAATATACTTTCTACGCTTACAAAGCCTTCTTACTTCCGTTTGGGATTCAAGGTAGCCTACCTGGACACTAGTAAAAGTCTCGTTCGCGTTTATCGACTAAGATAAACTCGTTATAGCCTCAAGAATACTTAGTGACGAACATAATACCAACATTATTAATTACTGGAATAGATTGATCTCCAAAGATAATTTTTTACAGTAATAAAGTAAAACAAAGTAGACTGTTTCGTGGTATGCTTTCCTCATTCGTTGCAGATGAATACCAACTTTCAGTTGGTCAGTCAGCTACAACGTAGAACTTCTTACGAATGTATGTACATCAGAGTTCCAGTTACCATACCACATTGGCACAGAGATGCAATTGTCAATTTAAATCCCATAGTAGTAGATGTAGTAGAAGAATTAGCGATAATCGAACAGATTAAGATTCAAAGATATTATTCAAAAAGTGTAATTCAGTGAAATAAACTAATATCCAACACTAGCTCTGTGCCATAAGCAATGATTCGTTTAGTAAGATTTCCACAGGCATATCAACTCACAAATGCAGATGAGGCTTCGAACAAAAAGTGAACTGGTTAGTGTGATCATCTACCTACACTACATGATGTATCATCAGTCGAAATGTCGTCGTAGTAAAACAGCTTTTAGAATATCAGTTAGTTGTATAAGTAATTACGCATGAAAATGAATCATATATAACACATATGTATAAATAAAATAGGAATATTTTTTTTTTCCTAAAAACAGACAACTCAAACAATTTTGAACGTACCGATGATGGTAATTTAATTAAATTGTTAATTTGACAATCTATTTTCTTTTGAATTAGATCAGCCAGAGTAGTCCGAGAACAATAATGATATAGACCATCTTGTTTAAGTATTAATATTTTTTTTCGGAAAGAAAATAAAAAGATTACATTACATTACTGTTACGCCTGCACGTAAACACGTCAACTTGAGATATACTTGAACTATTATTACAAGTTTACCTAGTCGGGAAAACGAGAGCGAGGATCAAGGATCCGGTGACACGACATTCTACTCAAATCCGATTATCTCAACCCACATATTTGGTAAAAATAAGAAGGCAAGACTTGATATAAAGTAGAACCTGTATTCTACAAGCATCCAGAAAGTACGAGGTCCGAATCCACAAGAGAAACAGGATCCCTGACTAGGGATCCGGGACCAGGTCCTGGTCATGGTAATAAAAAGTCACAGATAATGCGTATTTATACATTTTGGTCGAATAGGGAACGGCATCGAATTCTGAGACATTGACAGTTAAGACGACCAATAGGAAGCAACATTTGGATTGATATTGATAGTCAGGACAACCAATAAGAAACAAGATTGGAGGAACGTGACATTGACATCTTGGACGACCATAAAATTTGACCAGTAGGAATTAACCAATAGGAATGGACCAATAATTCTCTTAGGACATTGGATGAATAACCTAACAATTACATACTACTACTATTTTTACTACTGGTAATACAATTACACATTAAAGTTTCAATAAGACAGAAAATGGAAATATGATAAATATTATATTAGAATGAATCTTGAAAGAATAGTATATATCAAGACATGGCACAAATCCATGAAGTCATTGACAATTGAACTGAGCCATGTTGGTAGGTGTAGACTACCTTGGTTGGCGGTCCGCGAGACAATCGTAGTCGGTGAGACTTTGGATGCCATGGCCCAAAATCGTTTGCAATGGCATAGATGTATCCATTTTTGTGTTCTCTCAAATTCTAATCTTCTGAATTCCTCATTACCTTCACCTTTCCGTCTGTAAATTTATTTCACTGGATTATACATCTCGAATCATATATTCGATTCCTAATCTTCTCCATTACTGCTAATAATTTTTTTAAAATACGGTTTTAATCTTAATTCATATTTTGAAAATCATATATTGTTATATTTTTATTGGTTGTTTGAATCTTTTCATTGTTGTTAAAGACAGCAATCGACCAGTCTCTCTATGGCGAATGTGCATCCTGTGCGAATTGCCTTGATTTTACTTTAAGATTACCGGAGGCGAATAGTGGATAGTAGTGGAATCCAGTCAGGTAAATAACATCATAGAGTTTGAAGAAAATGGCACTTGATCCTAGAGTCCTAGAGTAAACATCAACTCCGAAATACAGTTACATCAGACTGACGAATCGTAGATTGGAAGAAACGCGCATTTTGGGTTCTATCGCTAGCCACTAATCAGCTCTGCTGGTAATTTATTGTTTCTATTGTATTAGTAGAGGTGAATGGTGGCTATTTGCTGAATGCAAGAAGCGCGTTTCGTCCTGTTTGTGGCTCGTCAGCTGGATGCGCCTGCATCTCAGAGTCAAGTTTCCTTATTGTATGTTTTATCAATTAAAAAACATCAGTCAATCAACTGTGAAGATATACCTTCAACTTTGTTCCAAAAATGGTCTACTAATGTGACTTATGAGTTATGATCTTGATATACTTGAAACTATTACGAGTTCACGTTAATCGATAAACCAAAGCGAAGACAATGAATGATCCAGGTGACACGATAGGCTACTCTAATCCGTTGCCCTGTCCAACTGAAGAAAAAGTCTTGATATGGCGTAGAAAGTGTATTCTACAAAGCACCCAGAAAATATAATGATCTCAAGTACACAAAGCTAGTTTATTTATACATCGTAGAAACGTCCTTGGGAGAGTCACAATAAAATAACACAGCAACCAATCACAGTCAAGGATTTTCCTGGTGGGAAATGTAATCTCAAGGTCAACTGATCAGCCCATGAATGAGACCCAAAATAAAGATATTTATCAAGTGAGTTCTGGGGATCTGACGTCCTCAGCAGTATCTAGCATTTTTGATTAGTTTGCCGATGAAATTTCATTTGAAAATCTAACATTTGCTAAGTACTTGTGTTTTTCACTCAAGATCCCCCAGCTGCAATAAACTAGACATGCCGTTAACAAACAGTTATGAATAATGTCACATCTATTACGCATTTCAATGGGAAAGAACAAACCAGATTCCAGTGGAGGAAAAAATCAGAAAGCACTGCTGGAAGTGGATAAAACACCCAACTGTGTCACAAGACAAGCTATCACTTGGAATCCTCAAGGTTAAAGGAAAAGAGGCAGATCGAACAACACATGACGCCGAGAAATATAGACAGACATGAGAAGAATAAACAAAAAGCTGGACAGAATTGGAAAGGAGGATTCAGGACAGAGTTGGTTAGAGAAGGCTGGTCGATGACCTATGCTCCATTGGAGGTGACAGGCATAAGTATCACCTATTTGGTTCGTTTATATTTTAATTGAAGATTTCAGAGATCAATTGATCAGTCATATTGTGGTGCGAGCTACTTATAAGTAGTATATGAAGTGAGTGTCAACGTAATGTCTGGCAGCAGAAGATGGGGGAAGATCAAGAGAAAGGAAGAGTTACAACACAATGGAATTTGTATGAAACGCATGAATAGTAGTGACAATGGATTGTTGATGTTTTGCAACAGGAACAGTCCAGTTCGATATGATGAACTGATATTTTGCAAATTAACAACGGTTTACGATATGGTTTTCCAATTTTACTGAGTAACTCTGTAATTTTCGTTAAATACACAATTCGGTTGCCTTCACCTGTATTCTCCTTCACTACACATTGATCAGTCATATGACTAAAACATCGTTCATACCATTCATTAGAACATAATAACATGCGATAGATAAATGAAGGAATCTACCTGGTAATAATGATTCATCAGTTTGAGCAATAATTTCTTCAAGTACTTTTCGTAAATCTGTACGTTCTTTATCATTTTTTAATGAGGTTTGAGAAACAACTTCTAATGGTTTCTTCACTTCACCAGATCGAATATACTATGAAGTGAATGAACAGTATAAAAAAAAGTTAAAATAAAATTTTTTTATTATGTTTCAATGAATTACGAAGATATGCATCTCATTATTGTACTGCTATTGTATAGGTTATCAGTTCAAAGTTTATTTCCTGAAATGAAGTTGATTTACCATTCTCTTATGTGATTGTGTGTTAACGATAATCAGACTAAGCTTGATATTTGTTTCTGCTGTACTGTTAGGATATTCATCCAATATCTTAAGAGAATTATTATTCAATTCCTAGTTGGTTAATTCCTATTGGTCAATTTTATGGTCGTCCTAGATATCAATGTCACATGCTCCAATGTTGTTTCTTATTGGTCATCCTGACTGTTAATGTCACTCAAATTTTGTTTCCTATTGGTCGTCCTAACTGTCAATGTCACAGACTTCGATGCTGTTTCCTATTCGACCTAAATGTATAAGTAAGCATTATCTGTAACGTTTTAGGACCCGGACCCGGATCCTTAGTCCGTGATCCTGGTTCTCTTCGGGACTCGGACCTCGTACTTTCTGGATGTTTGTAGAATACAGGTTCTACTTCATATCAAGTCTTCTTATTTTTACTCAATATGGGGGTTGGGACAGTCGGATTAGAGTAGCATGTCGTGTGGCCGGATCCTCAATGTCGTTTCCGACTAAGGTAAACTCGTAATAATTCAAGCATATCAAATGACATGTTTACGTGTATGCGTAACACGTAAGTACGATCATAAATGCCCTAGTACAGCCGAGAGTGTAGAGACTCTCATGTGACTACGCGTATATAACTACTGTTAGAGAGGTCTTATTCAGTGGCACAAGTGTTTATAATAAAATGGAGAGGATGGAAAACGAATGTCTTGTGTTCAAACTAGGTTGGTAGGTATAGCGGATCCACCTAGATAAATTGGAAAATCATAATTACAAACGCTGCTGCACATTGGCTCTAGAATTCTGAAGGAACGAATGGGGTATGAATCAAATCTTGCTCACTGGCTAGTATGTGAATACATCTCCAGACGTTGGTCCACTATGTTGTGGATTACACTTGTAGCTGTAAGCTCAGAGAGTGGACTCTTAAGATAACAACCTGGTTCGGTTCGGGGACTTGAGCAGAATCCAAGCCTACACACAAATTCATAGATATGAGTGGCTAATAAATATTTACGTGTCGGTTTGTACCAATAATTATGTGTTTTATTGAGCAAAAAATACTGATTGTCTAGATTCATCAGCTCTAGTTGCACTTTTCACATTACATGAAGTATTCATGGGGGCTATTGATCAGCCTTCATAGAATTATTTGAGCTAACGTGAATTATTGAAATATTAACGTTGGATGTAGCTGATAAAGGAATTCTGGTTTACTAATAAAGCTTTGCGAAATCCATTACTCACTGACAAGTGCCAGTTTTGCCAGAAAAACTAGGTCCAGGATTTTCTGCCTAATATCTTCAACTAACTAACATTAAAACACAGTGTACACAAAGTCAAGTTACTTATACTAGCGACCACACTGACTGACTAGATAAACATGAGACTGAACACTGCTCATAGGTCTATCAGTCTTAACCACTGCACCATATATTTGATGAAATTACTTTATACTTTAGGATTATCTTTTTTAAATTTGAGTTAAGGAGATCATCTTTTTTACACCTAAAAATTATCACTCAATCATTGTTAGACCATCATTTAAAACCTAGAAGCCAAGGATGGCCCTTTCATTCTGGTATAGGACTCATCAATGGCAGTGCACATCCACAATGTGCTCACTACTGACTAGATTCATGAGGAAAAATTCTCGCTTCTTTAATTGTTCAATATGTTATTAATTTACAATTTAAAAAAACTTTGATTAGATTGTATTTTGTTGATTAAACAGTAAGATGACAATGACATTTAGCAAATATTCATTACAGTTTCTGTGATACAATACATTATAATTGAAAAGATTAAGACCACGATTCCATAAAGGCCTAGACATTGCTCGAATGACGATTATATCACATTCTATTGCATTTATCAATTCGCATGTTTGTGTGGACAGACAGATGCAACGCAGAACTTTCTACGTAAGTACATCAGTTCAGGTTGCCATACCACGTCAGCACAGAGATATAATTGTCAATTCAAATCCAAGAGTGATAGCGATAGTACAAGTATTAGCAGTAATGCAGAAGATTAGAGAGAGAAGATATCATTCAGGAATTATAATTCAGTGAGATAAATTTAGAAGGAGAAAGATAGAGATCATGAGGAATTCAGAAGGTTCGAATTTGAGAGAACACAAAAAGTGGATGCACCTGCGCCATTGCAAACGATTTTGAGCCATGTCGTTCAAGGTCTCTAACCATTGGTGAAATTTGTCTCGCGGACCCCAACCAGGTAGCCTACATCTACCTACATGACTCAGTCCACTTCTCAGTGACTTCATGGAATTGTGCCATGTTTTGGTTTGGCCGCCCCTAACTTTCTTCCAACCTACTCCTACACTACAAAATGTAGCTCGTCGAGGAAGTCGGTGGTTAGGTATACGTAACACATGTCCCAACCACCTCAACTGACGAAGTTTCACTACTTCATCTATTGATTTGCCATCCCTACCTAGAACTGGTATCCTAATGACAGCATTGCCTCTACGGTTGTCCTAGGATACTGGAGCAATGCTTCGGAGATTGTTTGTGCGGACACACATACAAAGGATGGAGTCATCGTTATAACCTTGAATTTACCCTGGCAAGCCATTTTATGGCCTACGGGGGCAATGTGACAATTTTCTACTCTTCCCTATTTCTATATTACGTTCTATTCAATGAAAGTGCATTATTCTATGCGCTTACCAAGTCGTCGGCTCACCATTCCTCTCCCAGACAACCTCGCCTACTGTTCCTTACGCTGCTCCAGCACACAAAGTACCATTTACGCTATACGCAAACTTACCAGAGACTGAGCTTACATGTAGGTCCTCTATTCTTAATATACCTAGCTAAATATATCTATCTTCAATGATTAACCAATCACAAACTTTAAAACACAAAGACATCCTTCATCACAAAAAAATACATCATTTTCATCAGATAGATTCAATCATAGTCACACAAAAATATCTAATACAGTACACTTACTTGTTCAACTAAATCAACTTGATAGTTTTGTAATTCACCATTTACAAATACAGGTTGTAGTGAATTTGTAATAAAATTTATAACAAGTTCACGTTCAATTACATTTATCTGCAATAAACAAAATAAATAAAGAGTTTGTAGAAATTAATTTTGTATGTAAATAATACAGAGATTTTATAGTGAAATTGAATAGTTTTAGCAGTCAGTCAGTCAGCTAAAACGTAGAACTTCGTACTAGCATACATCAGTTCAAGGTGTCATACCATATTAGCACAGAGACACAACTGTCATTTCAAACCCCATAGTAGTAGATGTAATAGAACTATTAATCGTCATGGAGAAGATTAGGATTCGAAGATATTTTACAAGTTGTATAAACCAGTGAAACAAATTTAAAAAGAGAAAGATGGAGGTAATGCAGAAGTAAGAAGATTGGAATTTCAGAGAACAGGAAGAATGGCTGCAACAGAGCCACTGTAAACGATTTTGAGTCCATGTCATTTAAGGTCTTTAAACATCGACTAATTTCATCTCACGATCTCCAACCAGGTAGTCTACACCTTATAACATGACACAATCCACTTGTCAGTGGGTGCATGGATTTGTGTCATGTTTTGGTTTGGCCGCCCTTACGTTTCTTCCACCGTGCACATGCACCACAAAACACTGCAGGTCGGGGCAGTCGCTGGTTGGGTATTTATTACAGATGTAACATTTTCCAAAGTCTAACTAACTTTCTCGTAGACATCCTCTTAGAGTTAACATTAAGCTCGTCAGATTTTTCAGGGGTTGACCTTCTACCAGCGAAATCGCTTACTGATCTAGAATATGCCGATGACATAGTTTTATTCGGTGAAGACGCTGACAAAATGCAGAGTCTTCTGACTACCCTAAGCAACAATGCAAGCATGTTCGGGATGCGGTTTTCCCCCTTCAAATGCAAAATAGTGCTTCAAGATTGGGTTTCATCGGCACCTGAACTATTGATAGGAAGTGAAGTAGTCGAGCGCGTTGATCACTTCACTTATCTGGGGAGTCTCATCAGCGCTGATGGCCTGGTGACTGACGAAATCTCAGCACGGATACAGAAAGCTCGATTTGCTCTCGCTAATTTACGCCGTTTATGACGAGATATCCGTACGCTGACCAAAGGACGGGTGTACTGCGCAGCAGTTCGCTCCGTTCTCCTATATGGATGCGAAACATGGCCGTTAAGAGTAGATGTTCGTAGGTTATTAGTACTCGATCATAGATGTCTGAGAAGCATTGCTAGTATATCGCGGGACAACCGAGTAAGCAATGCTATCGGTTAGGAAACGAGTACTAGGTAAGGATGGCAGGTCAGTAGATGAAGTGGTGAAACTTCATCAGTTGAGGTGGTTGGGACATGTGCTAGTAGATGTAGACTACCTGGTTGGGGTCCGTGAGACGAAAGTCACCAATGATTAGAGACCTTCAACGATATGGCTGAGAATCGTTTGCAATGACACAAGTTCGTCCATTCGTTGTGCTCTCTCAAATCCTAATCTTCTGGATTCGTCAGCACCTCTACCTTTGTCTTCCTAACCTTATAAAAAGGCCATGCGTGACTGGCCTCAAGCAGTTGTCCCTTGGACTCTGCGGTCACGCACCAACACTAATCTATCTTCCTTTTCAGGTTCCTCAAGAAACAACCTTCCACGGTGTGGGCAGCCGGGAAGTGACAACCGCCCTCATACCCATAACAGCACGAGAGACCGAATTGGTCAAAATCAAATCCTTCCTACATTCCCTAATACCTCTCTTATCTCCACGACTAATGCAGACGATACGAGTTCGCGAAACGTCGTTCCTGGTCTCCTTAAACCTCGCTCTAGACTACATGTTGGAGCATTTAATGTACGGACATTGTGTCAAATAGGGCAACAGGCTTCCTTAGCTAGGAATGTTATGGTGTCGCGGCTCAGAGAACAGACAATGGTGACCGTCTGTTGCAAGCATGCTCAGACAATCGCCTATTCTTAGCAAACACTAACTTTAGGCATAAGGAAAAGCATCTGTTGACCTGGCGACCTCCAAAGTCGTCTCAACGTTGGACTCAACTAGATCACATTGCCATCAGCCACCGATGGAGGGGTTCGATAGAAGACTGTCGCTCGTTCTGGAGCACATGTCTAGATTCAGATCATGCCCTAGTGCGAGCGCGTATTTGTTTGAAGCTTACTGGGCGTAGGAAAGACACCGTAAGAAAGCCTCTTAGGGTTTTACTTAATGATAATAAGGCGAAAAATATATTTCAGGAACAACTAGAAAGACAGTTAGGCGACCATTTAAGCGATTCCCATCCGGAAGCAGGATGGAATGATATCAAAAAGGCTGTGGAAACAGCAGTGATATCTGCTAGTAAGGTTGACCATAAGGCTAGAATGAAACCGTGGATCTCAGTAGCATCCACCGATCTGATGGATGCCCGAAAACTCATCCCACCTGGCTCTGAACATGATGAAGAACGAAGTCAACTTAGGCGCAGACTTATAAAAAGCCTACGTAACGATCGCGAACAGTGGTGGGTGGCGAAAGCAAAAGCGATGGAAAAGGCAGCGGCGATCGGCAACACTAGACAACTTTTCCGACTTATCAAGGAAACTGGTATTAGGAATCCTAGTGTAAGTGAGACTATCTCAGAAAATGACGGGACTATTATTTATTCTCAATCCAGGAGACTGGATCGATGCGCAGAACACTTTAGGGATCAGTTCAACTGGCCTCGAGCCACTCTTCAGTTACCCACGATCTCCAGTCATCCTGAATGGCAAATCGACGTAAGTCCCCCTAGTCTTAATGAAGTTGAAAAAGCGTTAGGAAATCTGAAGCGAGGACGAGCTGCAGGTCCTGATAGACTGACCCCTGAGATATTTAAGGATGGTGGTCCAGGTTTAGCAGCTAGATTGACTGAGATCTTAGGTAGAATCTGGGAACTGGACGTAATCCCATCCGACTGGTCTCAATCACTGATTGTTCCAATCTATAAGAAAGGACAGAAGTCTTCTTGTGACAATCACAGAGGAATAAGTCTAACTAATACAGTATCTAAAATATTGGCCTCAATAATATTTCGACGCTTAACGAAAGCTCGTGAAGAGCGAACTCGAGAAAACCAGGCTGGTTTTCGACCTGGACGTGGCTGTATAGACCACATTTTCACACTACGACAGGTCCTGGAACACAGACACACATTTAGGCGTCCTACAATAGATGTTTTCCTGGACCTTAAGGCGGCATTTGACTCAGTGGATCGTGAGGTTCTGTGGCAGTGACTGTCATTGAAAGGTGTACCAAAGAAGTACATTAACCTTATACAAGCTCTCTACTCGAACACCACTGGTCGAGTGAGAGCTTATGGCGAACTGTCACCGGAATTCTCTACTTCAAGTGGTGTCCGGCAGGGATGTCCACTTTCTCCATTCTTGTTTACTTTTATCATAGACATGCTCCTAGAAATAACCTTATCCTCGTATGAATTTTCTGGAGTAGACCTTTTACCAGGTGGCTCGCTTATTGACTTAGAATATGCCGATGACATTGTTCTACTTGTTGAAGATACTGACAAAATGCAGAGTCTTCTGGCTACCCTAGGCAACAATGCAAGCATGTTCGGGATGCGGTTTTCCCCCTCGAAATGCAAAATGTTGCTTCAAGATTGGGTTGCATCGGCACCTGAACTAGTGATAGGGAGTGAAGTGGTCGAACGTGTAGACCGCTTCACTTATCTTGGGAGTCTGATCAGTGCCGATGGCCTGGTGACTGACGAAATCTCAGCACGGATACAGAAGGCTCGATTGACTTTTGCCAACCTGCGTCACATATGGCGTAGGCGAGATATCCGTTTGCTGAATAAAGGACGAGTGTACTGCGCAGTGGTTCGCTCCGTCTTACTTTATGGCTGTGAAACATGGCCAATGAGAGTAGAAGATACTCGTCGGTTATTGGTTTTCGATCATAGATGTCTTCGAAGCATTGCTCGTACATCGTGGGACACCCGAGTGAGCAACGCTGTTATTAGGAAACGGGTACTAGGTAAGAATGGCAGATCAATCGATGAAGTGGCGACACTTCATCAGTTGAGGTGGTTGGGACATGTGTTGCGTATGCCCAACCACCGACTGCCTCGACGAGCTTTGTTTTGTAGTGTAGGAATAGGTTGGAAGAAAGCTAGGGGCGGCCAAACCAAAACATGGCAGAAATCCATGAAGTCATTGACGAGTGGACTGAGCAATGTCGGTAGTTGTCGACTACCTGGTTGGGGTCCACGAGATGATAATAATCGATGGTTAGAGACCTTGAATGACATGGCTCAAAATCGTTCGCAATGGCGCCGGTGCATTTATTCTTTGAGTTCTCTCAAATCCTAATCTTCTGAGTTCTTCAACAACTCTAGTTTTTACTTTCTAAACTTATCTCATTGAATCATACTTCGTGAATAATATCCTCTAATTCTAACCCCTCCGATTACTTGTAATACCTTTACTACCTCTTCTACTATTGGATTTGAATTGACAATTATATCTCTGTGCTGATGTGGTATGGCGACATGAACTGATGTACTTACGTACGAAGTTCTACGTTGCAACTGACTGACTGACTGACTTCCTAACCTTATCTCACTGAATTATACTTCTTGAATAATATATTCGAACCCTAGTCTTCTTCATTACCATTAATACCTCTACTATCTCTATCACTATGGGATTCGATTTGACATTTGCGTCTCTGTGCTGATGTGCTATGGCGACATGAACTTAGGTACATACGTACGAAGTTCTACGCTGCAACTGACTAACTGACTAACTAATGCAGATGAAATTGGTGATTCAGTGAGTAAAAAGATGCTGTACTTTTAAATATCCTAAGTGCGCTAACTATTCAACTTAATCACAACTCAATCTCAATGATATGCACAAAACAGCTACACGCATACTTAACTTTAGTGACTGAACATAAATCAGTAACACAAGCATATGTTAACTCACACAGAGTTCAATCATACGTAAAGATAAACGATAACGATAGAGTAATAGAAACAATACAATATTACAGTATCATCTGTTTTCTAATAACAGAATCCAAAAGTATATGAATTTCAGAATAATAACATAATTTATAATTTCAAATCATAAATCGATCAATGTAAGACCACTCTATTCGAAAGAAACCTGGAAGCATTGGACGGCCGTTTCGTCCTTTAATAATAGGAAGACTCATCAGCAGTGCTCACCGAAGACAGTGGATAAGGTTGCACAAGAACATGAATTAATCAAAGTAAGACATTAACACCGTTAGATGCTGCCGGTTCAGTGGTCCAGAAGAGGTGAAGCGTTCACGTGAGAGACCGAAGGTTACTAGGTTAGATCCCAACGAGTAGCAAAAGTCATGGATACACTCTGCTACTGGTGAGTCTCATAGCACGGATAAAACGTCCTCCAGTGCTTCCAGGTTTTTAATGATAATATCTAACATTGACCGAGTCAAAAAGTAACTCAATAATCATTTCTACTATCCTATAATGCAAAATAATTTATATATTGATTCTTACCCGCGGAAAATCTTTAGGCAGAATACGTCCAGATTGTTCAAGGATAGCTAAAAAATAAAACTAGCGCAATTAGATGTATGGTTGACTATCATTTGGCAATATGTAATAAAAAAATAATTGATTATTTGTTTAAAATTGCTGAATTAAACCATAAGCATAAAAAAATCACACAAACTAAATTAGTCTAAAACTTAAACCAGCACAAACTAGAGGCTCTCTGAATTCAGTAGTTAATTGGATAAGGCGCTGTTGTTTTTATGATGACACGGTGGCTAACCACCGACTGCCTCGACGAGCTATGTTTTGCAGTGTAGGAGTAGACTGGAAGAAAGCTAGGGGTGGTCAAACCAAAACATGACATAAATCCATGAAGTCACTGACAAGTTGACTGAGTCATGTTGGTGTGTGTAGACTACCTGGTTGGGGTCCGCGAGACGAAAGTCACCAATGGTTAGATACCTTGAACGACATGGCTCAGAATCGTTTGCAATGGCGCAGGTGCATCCACTATTTGTGTTCTATGAAATTCTAAGCTTCTGCATTTCTCATAATCTCTACCTTTCTCCTTCTAAATTTATCTTACTGAATTATACTTCTCGAATCATATTTTCGCTCCCTAATCTTCTCCATTACTGTTAATACTTCTATTATTGCTATCACTTTTGGATTTGAACTGACAGCTGCGTCTCTGTGCTGATGAGGCATGGCAACGTGAACTGATGTACTTATGTACGAAGTTCTGCGTTGTATCTGTCTGTCTCATAATGACACATCAACACACCAATAGAAGTAAATACGGCTGATGAGTCTTATACGGAACGAAACGTGCATTTTGTTTATTTCTAAGTATATATTGAAAAGAATGAAATTATAAACTTGTGGGGACGTATGTCATTCTCAAACATGGCCGGTAAGAGTAGAGGACATTCGTAGGTTACTACTCTTCGATCATAGGTGTATCCGAAGCATTGCTAGTGTATCATGGGACAACCGAGTAAGCAATGTTATCGTTAGGAAACGAGTACTAGGTAAGGATGGCCAATCAATAGATGAAGCATTGAAACTTCATCAGTTGAGGTGGTTGGGACATGTGTTACGTATACCTAACCACCAACTGCCGCGATGAGCTATGTTTTGTGGTGTAGAAGTAGGTTGGAAGAAAGTTAGAAGCGGTCAGACCAAAACATGGCAGAAATCGATGAAGTCACTGACAGGTGGACTGAGTCATGTCACTAGGTGTCAACTACCTGGTTGGGGTCCGTGAGACGAAATTCACCAATGGTTAGAGACCTTGAACGACATGGCTCAAAAATCGTCTGCAATGGCGCAAGTGCATCTATTCGTTATGCTCTTTCAAATCCTAATTTCCTGGATTCGTCAGCACCTCTACCTTTGTCTTTCTAACCTTGTCCCACTGAATTATACTTCTTGAATAATATCTTCAAACCCTAGTCTTCTCCATTACTGATAGTGCTTCTGTTATCGCTACAACTCTTGGATTTGAACTGACAGTTACGTCTCTGTGCTGACGTGGTATGGCAGCCTCAACTGACGTACTTATGTACGAAGTTCGGCGTTGTATCTGTCTGTCTGTCTCAAACGACTTAGATCATAAGCCGAGATAACACTACTGATGTAAATAACTAATCACGATGATTCAATTCACCTGACCGTAGTAACTTCGTCAAACAATCTGAAATCTTTAATTTACCTAGAATTAAACCGACTAAGTGTGTAAATAACTTGTGTAAAGATAGGTGACGAGAGAGACGGGATAGAATATACATCTGAATAAATTTCAAAATACAATATTCCCAATTCTAACTGAAATGAAATTAGTTGTACAATAATTCAACTGGGCTATCATTAAAATCAGCAATCTATCATTGTTAGGCCGCCATTAAGAACCTACAAGCACTGGTTGGCCGTTTCGTCCTGGTACGAGGACTCACTAGCAGTGCGCATACACAATTCCCGCTACTCACGGGATTCGAACCCAGGACCTTCAGTTTTGCACGCAAACACCTAACCTCTGGTCCACTGGTCCGGCATCCAACTGTGTTAATGTCTAACTCTGATGTATTTGAGGATATTGAGCAACCCCATCCACTGTCTTCAGAAGTAATTGCCTACACCCAACAGCGTTGAACTCCAGTGGTCACGTCTTATTATTATTTATATAAGCATTAGATAAGTTTATCTGAATATACTGAGAAACAAATAATTAGATAAGTTTATCTACAGACACATAAGTTCATAATAATAAGTAGTATAACAACTGATTTATAAAAAAAAAGATACTCATAACTTACCACCGTATAACCATTTAAAGAAAGAACGTAATTGTGTTAGACTTTTGTCAATTACTCTATGAAATATATAAAATGATTGGAAAAACATTCAATAGATTTGAATGTACAACATACAATCACAACATTTAAACAGAGATTTAACATAAATGTAATAACTCAATAACAGTTCGAAATTTAATAAATCGGATGTCCAGAACAAAAATCAATTGACTAATGTGTAACTATGAACTAAATGTTAAGAAATCTTGATAAATTTTCCTTGTATCACATAGTAGTTGAAAGTGTTCAACAATAATTCAGGCAGATTACTGGAATTCAGTCAGTCAGTCAGATGCAACGTAGAACTCCGTACGTAAGTACATCAGTTCATGTTGCCATACGACATCAGCACAGACAGAGATGTAATTGTCAATTCAAATCCAATAATAGTAGAGATAGTAAAGGTATTTGAAGTAATCGGAGAGGTCACGATTAGAAGATATTATTCAAGAAGTATGATTCAGTGAGATAAGTTTAGAGAGACTAAAGTAGAGGTGTTGAAGAATCCAGAAGATTAGGATTTGAGAGAACACAAAGAATAAATGCACTGGCGCCATTGCAAACGGTTTTGAGCCATGTCATTTAGGGTAAATAACCATCGATTAATTATCATCTCGTGGACCCCAACCAGGTAGTCGACAATTACCGACATGGCTAAGTCCACTCGTCAATGACTTCATGGATTTCTGCCATGTTTTGGTTTGGCCGACACTAACTTTCTTCCAACCTATTCCTACACTACAAAACTAAGCTCGACGAGGCAGTCGGTGGTTGGGCATACGCAACGCATGTCCCAACCACCTCAACTGATCAAGTTTCATTACTTCATCTATTGATCTGCCATTCTTACCTAGCACCCGTTTTCTAATAACAGCGTTGATCACTCGGGTGTCCCAGCATATACGAGCAATGTTTCGAAAACATTCATGATCGAAAACCTTTAACCTACGAATATCTTCTACTCTTAACGGCCATGTTTCACAGCCATAATGTAAGACGGAGCGAACTACTGCGCAGTACACTCGTCCTTTACTGTAATTATTAATCACAAAATAAATGATGTATTGAAAATGGCTTATTCAACACAACAAGACTTATGATAATATAAAACAGACGATAATCAACTTACTGCCTTCTTATTGATCTTTTTTCCAATTTTTATTGTCATGACTGTCACTTTTATCTGTTTACTTTGTTAAGCGATTTTCGTTAAACTAACTCGTATTTATTATTGAAAGCATGAATGAATGATTGTTCAAGTGGTGTTAGAAACTTGGAAGCACTAGTGTGCCGTTTCGTCCTGACATGAGACTCATCGGCAGTGCGCATCCACGCATTCGAATCCAGGACCTTCGTTCTTGCATGAGAACGCTTAACGTCTAGGCCAGTGGGCCGTCATCCAACGATGTTAATGCCGAAATCATTGCATTTACTCGTTTCTCAAAATTTATGCACATTGGCCTTCCATTCTTGCCTACTTATTATGTGACATTGTTATTAATGTTTATTGCTTCATATTATATAATAACTCATTGATTATTACGCAACTGTTTGTAATCAACTGATGAGAATTCATATTATTCTACCTCAAGAAGTGTTCTCGACTTATCTGAACTCATAAAAAGAACAAACTGCATGGTGTGGAGAGTTTTATTCAGAATACTTGATTTCTAGCAGAAAAACTTTCAGTGTTTTTTAATGCAACAATTCTATCAAACGGACTAAATATTTACTCGGTATTTTAAAGACATCAGTTGTACAATTCAAGGATAACTGGAACTTTAAACTACTGTTTGTCTGTCAACAGTAATATCAGAATTTTCAACAAAAATTCCAGAAAAGTCCTATTGTATGGATCAAAAACTTGGAAAACTACGAAAGTCATCATTTAAAAGATATCGATATTTATAAACAGTTGTTTGTGGTGATGTTTGATTCTCTGAGCTCAGAGAAGGGGATAGGGCACACTGCGAAAATCAACCAGTTACATCACGGGACAAGCGTCAACTCGGATTCGTGGAAGCCAAGTGGAGAGCGGTAGACCAAAGAACATAATGTACCACAATCATCCACCTGAGCAACAAATTTTACCCACCATCTCATAAACAGTTGTCTACACATGATACTGAGGATCTGCTGGACAGACATCATTGGCAACAACATGCTATGGCAGAGAATAAAACCGGATTTGAGTTTGAAGAAGAAATAACGGAAAAGTGGTGGTAGTGGATAGGGCGCACTGCAAAAATTACCCAGCTACATCACAGGGCCAAATGGAAAACGGTAAAACAAAGAACATAATGTGCTGAGAATCAGAGACAGACATAGAGAGAATAAATAGTAGTTGGAAACTAGTGGAAATGAGAACTCAGGACAGAGTTAAGTGAGAGAAACCTGGTCAACTGCCTATGCCCCACGAAGGGGAACAGGCGTAAGTAAGTGACTAATTTTAACTGCTGAAAAAAAAACCCGAAAATTTTGAATAGTCATCAAATACACAAATGATGAAAAGCAACAGCAACAGAACATACAACTGTAATTCTTGAGTTTTTTGCAAAGTCATTCCAATTGTTCGAAAAAGTGTCAATGCAGTAGATGCTGGAATTTGCAATTCATGATATAATTGTGTATCACGTAAACTGCCCAAAACTTCAGACACATGAAATAGAAGACGTTGTAAGAAGCTATTTAAAAAATAATAAAAATAATAATAATAATAATTTTCGTCACTAAAATAAAGAAAAAATATACGAAATTGTGTCAAAATATTTCAGTTGAATATGATAATTTCTGAAGTAGTTTTAGTTAACTTTTAGCTAGATGGGTTTTATGCAGATTAGTTTATTTTTGTAGTTTTTATTTGTTTAAAGCTCGACCTAAAACTTAAAAAAAAAACAGGATTCAAACCACAATGGGATAGAAGGTGCACAATGTTATGTTCAGTCTCATACTAAAGAGAAAACAGTTGTCCAATGCTATCTGGTTGATACATTAGTGCGCTCAGTTGATCTTTCTGCTAATCCAACCAGGACACTATGGACAAAATTGCTACTATCCTGCTTTTTTCAATGCCAAACTAGCTATCATTAAAAATACCAGTTTAGTCAATTAAGCTCGCAGATGTCATAGAAATAGTGATGGTAATGCAGAAAATTGGAGTTCGAAGATCTTATTCAAGAAGTAGAATCTAGGGAAATAATCTTAAAAAGAGAAAGCTAAAGGTTATGAGAAATCCAGATGACTAGAATTTGAGAGAACACAAAGAACAAAAGCATCTGCGCCATTGCAAACGATTTTGAGCCATGTCGTTCAATGTCTCTAACCATCGGTTACTGTCACCTCAAGGACTCTAACGAGGTAGTCTACATGTACCAACATGACTCAGAACACTTGTTACTGACTTCATGGAGTTCTGCCATGTTTTGGCTTGGCTGCTAACCTACTCCCTAGCCACAAACCATCGCTCGACGAAGGAGTCGGTGGTTGAGCATACGCGACACATATATTAACTACCCTAACTTGATCTATTGATCTGCCATTCATACTTAATACTCACTTCTTAACTATAGCATTGATTACTCGGCTGTTCCAGGATATACGAGCAATGCTTCCAAGACACCTATGGTCGAAAATTAGTAACCTACGAATATATTATACTCTAACAGGCCACGTTTTGCATCCATAAAGTAGGACCGAGCGAACTGCAAACGGATATCTTGCCTGCACCATAAGTGACACAACTTGACAAAAGCCAATCGAGCCCTCTGTATCCGAGCTGAGATTTCATCAGTCAGTCAGTCAGTCAGTTGCAACGTAGAACTTCGTACGTATGTACATAAGCTCATGTTGCCATACCACATTATTAGCACAGAGACGCAAATGTCAAATAAAATCCCATAGTGATAAAGATAGTAGAGGTATTAATGTTAATAAAGAAGACTAGGGTTCGAAGATATTATTCAAAAAATATAATTCAGTGAGATAAGATTATAAAGACAAAGGCAGAGGTATTGATTTCATCAGTTAACAGGCCATCATCACTGATGAAACTCTCAAGATAAGTGAATCGGTCGACACGTCCAACTGCTTCGTTTCTTATCACTAGTTCAGGTGCAGACGCAAGCCAATCTTGAAGTAACATTTTGCATTTCGAGGAGGAGAACCGCATCACGAACATACTTGCATCATTTCTTAAGATTTTTAGGAGACTGTATTTTTTCAGCATCTTTACCAAACAAAACAATGTCATCACCAAATTCTAAGTCGACAAGCGGATCTCTTGGTAAAAGTTCAACTCCTGAAAGCTCAGGTGATGAAAGTGTCGTACCTAAAAGTATATTTATGACAAAGTTGAATAAGAATGGAGAAAATGAGAAACCATGACGAACACCATTCGAGGTAATCAATTCCGATGACAGTTCGTCATAAGCTGTGATTCGATCAGTTGTGTCCTAGTAGAGAGCCTGCAGGTGGTGAATGAAATTCTCTAGTACTCTTGTCCAATGACAGATACTATCAGAGAAACTCACGATCAAAAGATTTGAATGTTGCTTTAGGATCCCAAGCAGTGCTAGTCTGTGAATCATTGAGCGATAGAAACCAGCATCTTATGAATAGCTACCGAAATATCTCGTTTTATTAGCTGATCATAAAAGAACACAAGATTTTCCGTCAAATGGCACAACTGATTATATATATTGTTGAGTAGAATCCTACCCAAGTTGATAATAAACGGATGCACAGTGAATAGTTTTAACATAAAAATTAACAGTTGCAAATTTATTCTCTTCCACAGTATTAAATATTGATATTCTTGATGTTAACCAAACAAGCTCATTTGAATAGATTGGATATGGTTAGCAGTAGCTATAACGAGGTAATCCGCATATGCCATCCCCATATGCCAACTAAGACTAATCAAATTTCATTCAAAATATTAACAACGGGATAATGCAAACCATTTTAAGATTGATGAAAGCTCATTTGAGTATTATATCATTGATACTTGTGAAATTCTCGATTTATGATTATATTACTTATAAGTAGTCAGAGTTCACCCACTGATAACTAACTGACTATGCTGTTATTGGTTGAAACCTAGTTGGCATGGACAGTTATTTTGAAAGCGTCATTTTTTAGGTTCGACTGTGGTTAATGTTTTATCACCTTGAATGTAAGCTTGAATTTGACTAATTTTAATTCATTGTGGAATAACACATAAGAGAGTGAAGAAAATTTCCAGCCCAGATGGATGACTGTGACGGAGTTTCGTTCTCTGAGCTGGAAGTTTTGCTTCTGGAGATTTTAGTGTTTTGCTAAACACTGATCTAAGTTAACAGCTAATCAGAAAAATCGTAGGATCAACAACCAAACCAAAAGCGGATACAATCAAAATACAGAGACAGACAATGATAGGATAAAGGTCGATCACTACCAATCAAGATCGAGGTCAATAAGAAAAGCTACGAATCATATATAAAGAAATCCAAATACTTCACTGTACGTGAAATTTGTACTGATGATCATGTCGTTCAATAGAACAATGAAAGCTCCACAACTGAAACATACAGATCAGAGAAAATCCATCGTACTTGGATACTTTATTCAAGTGAATCTGACGATACTGTTCTGTTACTTAATTCATGAATCAATTCCTTGTTAGATCACTATTAGAAAGCTGTAAGCATTGAATAACTGTTTCATCCTGGTATGGGGACTCATCAGAAGTGCACATCTACAACTCCTGCTACTCGCAGAATTGGAACCTAGGATCTTCAGTTTTGAGTGCGAACGCCTAACCTCTGATACACTGGGTCGGTATCCAACGATGTGCATTGTCTAACTATGATCAATCTATGGATTTTGAGCAACCCGCCACACGTTTGTATTCATTAGTAACTGCCTACACTGGACAGAGCTGAGCTACACTGCTTATGTCTTCTGTTCTTCAGTCAGTCAGTCAGATGCAACGTAGAACTTCGTACGTAAGTATATCAGTTCATGTCGCCATACTAGAGTTGTTGAAGAGCCCAGAAGATTAGGATTTGAGGGAAAACAAAGAATAAATGCACCGGCGCTATTGCGAACGATTTTGAGCCATGTCATTCAAGGTCTCTAACCATCGATTATTATCATCTCGCGGACCCCAACCAGGTAGTTGACAATTACCGACATGGCTAAGTCCGCTCGTCAATGACTTCATGGATTTCTGCCATGTTTTGGTATGGCCGCCCCTAACTTTTCGTCCAAGCTATTCCTATATCGCAAAACATAGCTCGATGAGGCAGTCGGTGGTTGGGCATACGCAACACATTTCCCAACCACCTCAACTGATGAAGTGACACTACAGCGTCTATTGATCTGCCATTCTTACTTAGCACCCGTTTCCTAATAACCGCGTTGATCACTCGGGTGTCCCACGATCTACGAGCAATGCTTCGAAGACACCTATGATCGAAAACCAATAACCGACGAATATCTTCTACTCTCACTGGCCATGTTTCACAGCCATAAAGTAAGACAGAACGAACTACTGCACAATACACTCGTCCTTTAGTCAGCAAACGGATATCTCGCCTACGCCATAAGTGACACAGGTTGGCAAAAACCAATCGAGCTTTCTGTTTCCGAGCTGAGATTTCATCAGTCACCAGGCCATCGGCACTGATGAGACTCCCAAGATAAGTGAAGCGGACTACACGTTCGACTACTTCACACCCTATAACTAGTTCATGTGCCGATGAAACCCAATCTTGAAGCAACATTTTGCATTTCAAGGGTGAGAACCGCATCCCGAACATGTTTGTATTGTTGCTTAGGGTAGTCAACAATGAAAATAAAAAATAAATAAATGAAACTCACAATTGAATTTGTTGAAAACATATTATTTTAATTGATTCATAAGCTTTTAAAGTTGCTGTACCAGTACGTTTTAAACTAGCCGCATTCCAATCTTCAACAAGAAATTTTTTTAATTCAGGACTGAAATAATTTAAAAAAAGGAATACGAATCTATGGTTAGCAATAAAAAAAAATTGAAATCAGATGATTTTCTATTGAGTTAATGCATCAATTAGTTATAACAATAGTATAATCGTTTGCACTGACGACGGTGCATCCACTCTTTGTGTTTTTTCCGGAAATTCTAATATTTCGGATTCTTTATCACCTCTGTCATTCTCCTTCTAAAGTTATCTCACCGCATTATTGTTATAATGCTGCTACGTATAGCTATTCAAATCCTACCGACATCCGAATTCAAATATCACAGTACGACACAAATACTATTCCCAAATCTCCCGTATATCAGAACACAACGCCGTTGTTTAATGGGTCGAGTACAGCAGAGAGAGGAAGGCAGGAAGGAACGGAATACAAAGCTTTACAGATACTGTGTATTTTATACATTTAGGTCGAATAGGAAACATCATCGAAGTCTGTGATATTGACAGTTAAGACGACCAATGAGAAATAACATTGAAGTAGGTGACATTGATATCTAGGACGACCAAAAAATTAACCAGTAGGAATTAACCAATAGAAATTGACCAATAATTCTCTTAGGATATTGGATGAATATCCTAATACTTACACTTCTTGAATAATTTCTTTAAACCCTTATCTTTTCCATAACCACTAATATTTCCACTATCTTTACCACTATGGGATTTGAAATGACTATTGTGTCTCTATGCTGATGCAGTATGGCAACCTGAACTTATATACTTACCTAAGAAGTTCTACATTGTAACTGACTAGAATAAAGAGAGATGGGATGGATATAAAAGTAAGAATTAGTATTGAATTTCAAGTTTTAGTCATATCTTAAGTTTGTGCAGTCACACAACTTAGACCAATAATCGATTGGGGAATTGGTCATGCACAGAAAGTATCAACCATTTGAAAGGAGTGAAACAAATACAATTAGCACACACAAACACACAGCAATTTTAGATAGTTTTTCACATTGTAAGTGTTGAGAATACACTAGGATGGATGGAAGTTATTAACTGTTGGAATGAACTGTATATTGTGCAGATTATCTGGTCTTACGACCAGTCCATCATCGTAGCCAATAGTTCGAGATGTTGTGTGACTACTCAGTGCAGAATCTGTTACAATCGTACAAATCTATTCAATCTTTGTGTTCCGACAGGCAATAAGTTTTAAAATTATTTCATTCTGTTATGTTCGTCACTTGGTACGCTTGAAGCTATTACGAGTTCACCTTAGTCGATAAACGCGAACGAGACAATTACCAGAGTCCAGATAGGCTACCTTGAATCCCAAGCTGTAAACAGAAGGCTTTGTAAGCGTAGAAAGTATATTCTACAAACACCCAGCAATCACAGTACAATCAAGCATACAACTCTCGTTTATTTATACATCACAGAAACGTCCTTGGGACAGTCACAAAAATAGCACACTAAAATACACAGCAGCCAATCACAGCCATGGATTTTCCTGGTGGGAATCGAAATCTCAAGGTCAACTGATCAGCCCATGCTGGCAAACGTGAAATCCAAAATAAGGAATTTATCAAGCGAGTTCTAGGGATCTAACATCCCCAACACATTCTTTTTATTCTATGATTTTTCTTAAATTATATTTCCCGTGTCAAATAACTTCTTCTACCACCAGTAATGAGTGGTACTGTGACTTTTTTTAGTACTCTGGTTTTCGCTGCAATAATTTTATGTCTATACTGACTGATGCAGTGAGGGGCGACGTGAATTAATGTATGAAGACGTTATACGTTGCTTATAAATAGTTGAGATTGTGGTGAGACTTTAATTTATGAACAATCCCTTTCAGCAATACACCAAAGTGACCTTGAGGAAATCCACTTACTTATCAATGAAAGTAGGCTTTTAAATTAGTGCACAAGGAGTTACGAATAAGGTATGGAGTAAGAAATTAGAATGAGGAATTAGAGTTATTGTTAAACAGAATATCATGTACAATGCTGACCATCTGTAAATTTTATTGGTTCATTCATTACTGATAATAAGAGAATGTATAGTGAGCATTGAAACTTACAAACAACGTCCAAAAAGAAGGAACTGCAGCAGTTCCACACATAAAGACCATTCCTAAAAAATAAATTTTACAAAATTAAGAGGGAAAAGAAAAAAAACAATAAGAAATTGAGAATTGAATTGAACACTGAACAAATCAAATCAATATTCTGAGATGGTGGAGAAAATTTGTAGCTCAGGTGGATGATTGTGGTGATGTTTTGTTCTCTGAGCTGGATGCTGTTTTGGTTGTGAAGCTTTCACCATTGTTCGCCTTGTGAACAACATCATCATCAGCACACTACATAGGACAAAGTGGACGGCCTCTTCAGCTCCGTTTACGTGAACATCAATTAGCAGTCAAACTCCACGACAAAGCTTCTCTTATATCAATACATACCGACAATTATGGACATACATTTGATTGGAACAATGTGGAAATACTGGGTAGGGGGAGGAGAAAGAACACTAGAGAATTTTTAGAAGCTTGGCAATCAGGCCAATCAGCAATCAACAAACACATCGACATTGACCCAACGACAGGTCAAAAGTCAACAGCAACCAATCAAGATCGAGGTTAGCAGAACAAGCTACAGGTCAAACACGTGGAGAAATTCGAATGCTTCACTTCTTCTATCTGAAGTTTGTGCTGATAATGTTGTTTAGCCAGAAGAACAATGAAAGCTCCACAACCAAAACAACCAGCTCAGAGAACAAACTACCACCACAATTCAATATTCAAAAAACAATATGTGTTTAAATTGACAACAACAACAACAATTTTTTCTTTCACAAATAAACTCCATGGAATTTAATTTACTTACTTTATCTTGTTCTAAACGTTCACGAGCATATTTTGTGAATTTAGCATCCATTTCTAAAATCATATCTTCCCAACAAATGCATACTTGATTAAAGCTCCAATCTAATAACTGATCGATAAAAATTGATATATAAAAGAGGATGAAATTTTTTCAATAAGGTGTTAAATATTTGGTTAACATTGAAATTCAATAGATATGTTTTGTACCAGTTGGAACAATGTCAATTGAATGAATCTGCATCTCATGGTTGAACACAGTAATTTTTGTTTGGAACGTCAGCAGGCTATACTACCTACCGATTGAGTCTAAATAGCCGCTAGTTTATGTAATGAGTAATCAGTCAGTCAGATGCAACGTAGAACTTCGTGCATAAGTACATCAGTTCATGTTGCCATACCACATCAGCACACCGAGATATAATTGTCAATTCAAATCCAATAGTAGAAGAGGTAGTAAAGGTATTAGAAGTAATCGGAGAGGTTAGGATTAGAAGATATTATTCAAGAAGTATGATTCAGTGAGATAAGTTTAGAGAGACTAAAGTAGAGGTGTTGAAGAATCAAGGAAGATTAGGATTTGAGAGAACACAAAGACTGAATGCACCGGCGCCATTGCAAACGGTTTTGAGCCATGTCATTCAGGGTATCATCTAACCATCAATTATGAGTGGGTGAAACGTGTATCATGGATTCTACTGCTGCTATACATAATTCAAATTTAACTAAATGAGAACTAATCGATTGCAGACGTTTATACTAACAATGTGAAAATGTAAGCCATTACAAATAAATCATAAATAAGTATTTTCAAAAGATTTTAGCAATTGATATGGGTAGGAGTGGATCAAACTTCGTCTGCAGTCCTTCTAAGGGTTACTGCCAGTCCCAAGTGCAAATAAAAAACAACGCTGGTCGGCGGCCTATGCTCCATTAGGAGTAGCAGGTCTAATTAATGAAGTAAGTAAGTAAGTAAGGTGTGGATCAAAATGGTATCGTTGTGGTTCGACTTCTATTATAAAGAATTGAAATAGTTCTAAAAATTCAAATTCCAAAGATACATTTTATACTGAACAATTAGTTAGTGATTCATAGATAAATATTTATTGTGAACACAAAGTTTCTACACTACAGCCTCATCAAAATGAGATGAAATGAACAGAGTGAATGTAAGAGTAAAAAAATGAAATAAAAATTAGGAAAATACTTTAAAAAAATTAAGTTTCAAAAGAATATCAAACAAATAAATTTCAGATCACTACGACATAGTTTGAGTTACGATCCCTACGGTATACAACTAATGGCTACAATAACGTTAACTAGATAGTTTGATACAAAACCAATGACTTCAAGAATTGATGGTGTATTTTGGTTTAACCCTTTTATTTTACATTACGAGGTTGTCAAGATTGGTAAGTTACACATTTTTTTGAAACCATGAACCAGTCAATGTTAGACCTCCATTAGAAATCTGGAAGCACTGGATGGCCGTTTTCTTTCAGTTTAGTACGATGCAAGCAGCCAGAATCGCGAAAGCAAGTGGTCGAATATACATAAAATATACTTCAATCACCTTAAAGAATAAAGATTCACAATCTCACCAACTGAACTCTCGTCATTCTCCATTATTAGACTCCTAATTTCAAGACTGCTACTAGATGAACAACGCTTTAAATACCAGCCTCCTTATGATGTTTTTTTCTTTTCAAGGTCACATTTCACAGTCGCCAAATGAAAGAAAACTGTTAGCGAGCATACATAGCTATAGACTAGTATATGAATATCTTGTATATAACACAGGAGATTCAAGTTGGCAACAGTTAAGAGAGATTTCTAAGCTCGTACTGAGACTGTGATAGATACCACCAGCCTAACAAGATATTCAAGACGAATCAAATGGTTAGTAAGCGTGATCACATTACTACCTATATCATCTGTCTAGGTGTTGATTAAGGCGAGCTATGAAGTAAAAAAACTCTTAGATTTTGAGGATAAAAATGAGTTCCATTGTTACTAAGTGTTCAGAAGACCCGACAATTTGTTAGCGCATATGCTGAAGTCATCAATTTAGCAATGCTGAGGTTACACTAGGCAAAGTCAACAAATCGGCTGATGAGCCTATAAACCCTCATCGATTAAAATTGCTTCAACAAGTGTTACATATTCTCAGTCAGTTCCTAACTCAAAGTGCAGTGTTGGCTGGAGTAAGACGAGTAGGTTAGAATAAAACAAAAGGTACTCAAACTCAAATCATAATAACTCAAATCGACACACAAAATAAGACGGGGTTGTTGTAAAGATTGTTAAGTTTTATTTGAAACCATGAATCGATCAATGTTAGACCACCATTACAAAACCTGGAAGCACTGGACGGCCGTTTCTTCCTGGTATGGGACTACTCAGCAGTACGCATCCACGACTCCTGCACCCCGCAGGATTCGAACCCAGGACCTTCGGTATTGTAGGCGAATCCTGCGGAGTGCAGGAGTCGTGAATGCGCACTGCTGAGGAGTCCCATACCAGGACGAAACGGCCGTCCAGTGCTTCCAGGTTTCTAATGCTGGTGGTCTAACATTGATCGATTCATGGTTTCAAATAAAACAAAACAAGACGTCAATAGGTGATCTTAGGTTCAATTTTCAACGAATTAATTATAGTTTTGTTTTATCAGCTTTACTTGTGTTTACCATGACAATTTTAAAATAATTCTCAAGAGTAGAGTATATAGTATAGAACAAGTAATCCGTGCAACTCGGTAACGAAGTACAAATTTCTGTAATCCATCTTATTGTGTTAATATGACAGCTTGTAATATGATGCCCTGACTGTTTAAACATACGTAAACGATGCGTGCAGTTTGAACCTACCACTTAAAAGTTTTATCAACGATGTTTGGGTAAAGACAACAGTGTTTTCCTTCATTCATATTAACCGACTAACAGGTCCAGTCAATCTAGTACACATTTGAAATCATTAATCAATCATCATTGTTAGACCACCATTAGAAACCTGGAAGCACTGGACGGCCGTTTCGTCCTAGTATGGGACTCCTCACCAGTACGCATCCACGACTCCTGCACCCCGCAGGATTCGCCTACAATACCGAAGATCCTGGGTTCGAATGCTGCGGGGTGCAGGAGTCGTGGATACGTACTGCTGAGTAGTCCCATACCAGGAAGAAACGGCCGTCCAGTGCTTTCAGGTTTCTAATGGTGGTCTAGCAATGATGATTGATTAATGATTTCAAATGTGTAAAAACGCAAACCTCCAAAACTGTGCCCCAATAAATATAGTAAACACATAAATTGCGTTTCATAGCTAAGCAATCTTCCAGTCATTTATAATTCAAATAGACGATTAACTATGAGAAGCAACATTTGACAATAATAATAATAATTAGGTAGATTTTCTATTACAATTCGTATAATATGATCAAAACTTACAGACTTGGTAATTTTAATTGAATAAGCCGATGATGACAATTTCAGTAGCTGATAATGAAATTTACGAATTCCATCACAAGGAATCTAAGATAAAAATAAAAAGTTAGAAAGATAATAAAGATTACTAACAAAGTTATCAGCATCTTTATTAGTACAGATGGTTAGGATAGACAGACAGATACAACACAGAACTTCGTACATAAGCACATCAGTTCAGGATACCATACCACGTCAACACAGAGACGTAACTGTCAGTTCAAATCCAAGAGTGATAGCGATAGAAGAATTATTAGCAGCAATGGAGAAGATTATAGTTCAAAAATATGATTCGAAAAGTATAATTCAGTAAGATAAATTTAGAAGGAGAAATTATGAGAAATTCAGAAGGTTAGAATTAAAAGGCACACAGAGAGTGTATGCACCTGCTCCATTGCAAACGATTCTGAGCTATGTCATTTAAGGTCTCTAACCATTGGTGACGTTCGTCTCGTGGACCCCAACCAGGTAGTCTACATCTACCAACATGACTCAGTCCATTTGTAGGTGACTTCATGGATTTGCTCCATGTTTTGGTTTGGCCTCCCCTTAGCTTTTTTCCAACCTACCCGTACACCACAAAACATAACTCGTCGAGGCAGTCGGTGGTTAGCCATACGTAACAAATGTCCCAACCACCTCAACTAATGAAGTTTCAATGCTTCATCTATTGATTTTCCATGCTTACCTAGAACTCGTTTACTAATAACAGCGTTGCTCACTCGGGTGTCCCAAGATGTACGAGCAATGCTTGCAAGACACCTATGATCGAAAACCAGTAACCTACGAATATCTTCTACTCTCACTGGCCATGTTTCACAGCCATATAGGAGAACGGAGCGAACTGCTGCACAGTACACTCGTCCTTTGATTAGAGAACGGATATCACGCCTACACCATAAGTGACGCAGGTTAGCAAAAGCCAATCGAGCCTTCTGTATCCGAGTTGAGTCAGTCGCCAGGACATCAGCACTAATGAGACTCCCAAGATAAGATGGTTGGGACATGAGTTAGGCATGCACAACCACCGACTGCCTCGATGAGCTATGTTTTGTAGTGTAGGAGTAGGCTGGAAGAAAACTACGGGCGACCAAATCAAAACATGGTACAAATCCATGAAGTCACTAACATGTAGACTGAGTCATGTTGGTAGATGTAGACTACCTGGTTGGGGTCTGCGAAACGATAGTAACCGATGTTTAGCAATCTTGAATGGAATGACTCAAAATAGTTTGAAATGGCGCAGATGCATTCATTCTTTGTGTTCTTTCAAATACTAATCTTCTGAATTCCTCATCACCTTTATTGTTCTTTTTTTAAATTTTTTTCACTGGCTTAATCCTCTTGAATAATATCTTTGAACCCTAATCTTCTCTATAACCGCTAATACTTCTACTATCGCTACTGCTATGGGATTTGGCTTGAAAACTTGATCTGTGTGCCGATTTGGTTTGACAACTTGAACTGATCTATGTACGTACGTACGAAGCCCTACTTTGTGACTGACTGGATGACTGAACAGAGTCTAAAATGAGAATGCATAGACTAAATTATTCGAAGGACAGACAGACAGATACAACGCAGAACTTCGTACGTAAGTACATCAGTTCAACTTGCTATGCCCCAACAGAACAGAGATGCAACTGTCAGTTCAAATCCAAGAGTGATAGTAATAACAGAAGTATTAGCAGTAATGAGGAAGATTAGGGTTCGAAGATATTATTGAAGAAGTATAATTCAGTGCGATAAGGTTAGAAAGACAAAGGTAGAGATGCTGACGAATCCAGAAGATTAGGATTTGAGAGAGCTCAAAGAATGGATGCTGTTGCGCCATTGCGAACGATTTTGAGCCATGTCGTTCAAGGTCTCTAACCATCGATTATTATCATCTCGCGGACCCCAATCAGGTAGTCAACAACTACCGACATGGCTAAGTCCACTAGTCAGTGATTTCATGGATTTCTGCTATGTTTTGGTTTGGCCGCCCCTAACTTTCTCCCAACCTATTCCTACACTACAAAACAAAGCTCGTCGAGGCAGTCGGTGGTTAGCCATACGTAACACAGGTCCCAACCACCTCAACTGATGAAGTTTCACTACTTCATCTATTGATTTGCCATCCCTACCTAGAACTCGTTTCCTAACGACAGCATTGCTTATACGGTTATCCCATGATACACGAGCAATGCTTCGGACACATCGATGATCAAAGGCTAGCAACCTACGAAAGTCATCTACTCTTAACGGTAACATTAGTTATTCGAAGGATTCAATAACAAAGGCTTATACTTATGGTACAACACATTAAAATTATAGTGTATTAAAATACCATCGACAAATACCAGGCCGAACAAGAACAAATATACAAAAAGAATTCAATCCATTCACACAAACTATTTAATCCTTGACTGTAGAGAAAACCAACCCATACATTTTTATCGATAGCAGCTTAGCTACTTATAAGTAGTATAAATTATATACCAAAATTTTCAACTCACCTTATGACAGACCACACAAAATTGTCCATCATCATTGAGAAACGATTCAGTAATTAAAAGTATATTTTGTTCCACTGATAAATGACAATTGATAAGCTGAAAAAGTGGATAATTATTTATTAAATCAATCAATCAATCAATCAATACAAGTAAATACATACCTTGAATGTATGATTGGTAGTAGTTGCATGTAAATGATAAACAGCAATTTCAAATACTCCATATCCATAAAAATATACGGTACGTTTTGTGTACACTGTCAATATAGGTAAGCTAATGAATAACATAAAGTTTATAATGAATATTTAGCAAACTACTTGTTACAATCAATATCATCAAGTAGTTGTGCATATTTACAAACATCAGACGATGCAAAATTGACATCACTAAAAATACAATAAGAAAAAAAAAAATCAGAATCATACGATTTGAATAGAGTTAAATGCTTCAGATTTGGAAAGAATATAGATGCATTATTCTTTAGACAATTCATCTCTGCATTCCTAGCACTCTGTTCTTCATCATCATTATCAGTAGTAGTACAAGTTGTAGTAGTAGTAGTAGTTGTAGCAGTAGGATTTGTACATGGAATTTGATGATTAGTCCAGAAGAGATAATCAATTGAATTGGGAAATTGTAATTCATGAAAAATGAATCCATCATTAACAAGAAAAAAACATATTGTACCAGATGAAAATGCTGCAGTCAATATTTTACTATCTGGTCTCCATGATAAATTTGATACACTGCCTAGATCTGACTTTGTACACTCCCAAATACATGTCATTTTATATCTGAATAAAAAAAATGGATAGTAAATAGAAGAAATTTATTTCAGCAAAAGAAAAGTAAACAAACATTGACTTATGTGTCTAACAGTAAATGCGTTTCAATCAACGTGACAATAAACTGGAAAGGATTTAATTGTGATCAATTTGGTCTCTCGTGTGCTGTCACACACTGTGAAAGGGTAATTCTTGACGAACCTTAAAAAGAAGGTAGATTAGTGTTGGTCTTAGAGACTTGGGAGCGTGACCTCAAAGCCCAAGGGACAACTGCTTTAGGCCGGTCACATACGGTCTTTTTATGAAAAGTTCTTGAAGTGTTTGCTCCGCTGTTGTTTTAAAGGCCTTACCACCAGAGACGGAAATCCATGAGGTAAGGTAAGGAGTGATATTTTTAGAGTCGACCTTTTGTAACCACTTCCTTCGTTGTCAGAAGGCAGCATCGCTCAGAAACTGGTTGTCCGAGCGAAACACCTTACTGCTGTCACATGTCCCTACACTTGGCAGTACTACTTCACTCACAGAGCTTGAGTTGCTGCTTTTAATCTCATCGTTCTCCAATCGATCTGCCTGGTATTGTAGAACCTACAGTTACATGTGTTCTAGCCAATATAGTGACAGGATAACGAAGTTACATAAAACTAAGGAACTAATATGGGCAATAAGTTTTGATGCCTTCTCCAGTACCTTTTGTCCCAATGAGTCACATAAATGCTACACAATAACTTTTGACCTGTGTTAAGAATGTAGATTCGTTTCTCAAAAAAACCAATTGATTACACCTTATTTTTCTTTCAATAAGATAAAATTTTACATAAAAGGTTTTCTTCTTTCAGAATCCAAACCAAAACATTGCACAAATCCCTGAAATCACTGACAAGTGGACTGAGTCATGTTGGTAGATGTCGGCTACCTGGTTGGGGTCTGCGAGACGAAAGTCACCAATGGTTAGAGACCTTGAACTAAATGGCTCAAAATCATTTACAATGGCGCAGGTGTATCTACTCTTTGTCTTCTCTCAAATCCCAACCTTCTGAATTCCTCATCATCTCTATCTTTCGCTTTCGAAAGTTATCTCACTGAATTATACCCCAATCTAATTATTACTGCTAATACTTCTACTATCGCTACCACTATTGGATTTGAACTGACAGTTACGTCTCTGTGCTAATGCGATATGGCATCCTGAACTGATATACATATGTACGAAGTTCTGTGTTGTATCTGTCTATCTGTTTATCTTTCTTTCAGAATAGCTAAGGCTATATGAGAAAGGCCAATTGAAGTATCCAGAATGGCAGTTTTGGTGGAAGGCTACAATATAATGCTTAATAAATCCATAATTTTATCCAATCTAAGATGACAATGTACAAATAATCACAAAAATAATTAATGTTGACTGTTTTAAAAACTTTTTAAAGGAGACACAAACTTTTAAAACTATTTCATTTATTTTTAAATATAGACAGACAGACAGATACAACGCAGAACTTCGTACGTAAGTACATCAGTTCAGGTTACCATGCCCCATCAGCACAGAGACGCAACTGTCAGTTCAAATCCAAGAGTGATAGCTATCATAGAAGTATTAGCAGTAATGGAGAAGATTAGGGTTCAAAGATATGATTCGAGAAGTATAATTCAGTAAGATAAATTTAGAAGGAGAAAGGCAGAGATTATGAGGAATTCAAAAGGTTAGAATTAGAGAGAACACAAAGAGTGGATGCACCTGTGCCATTGCAAACGATTCTGAGCCATGTCGTTCAAGGTCTCTAACCATCAATGACTTTCGTTTCGCGGACCCCAACCAGGTAGTTGACACCTAGTGACATGACTCAGTCCACTTGTCAGTGACTTCATGGATTTGTGCCATGTTTTGGTTTGGCCGCCTCTAGCTTTCTTCCAACCTTCTCGTATTTTTTAAATATATGTTTCTTTCTGTTATAGTAAGCAGCGGGCATTAAATTCAAATGTAAGTCATATTAACGGATTGACATTGTAACATAACCAAATGAAAACTGATAAAAATGTGAGTTTAACATCTCATTACACTTCGCCCTTAAGTGACTGATAGTTTAGTAAATCATAAAATTGTCAAACACAATGATAAACAGTCGTCAAAACTTACCTATGCACAGAAACACATCCATCATCGGAACCTAAAGCAATCAAGTCAGTCTTCGGTGACCATATACATGCAACAATTTTCGTTCTAACTAACTGTCGTGTTTCTACAAGAGAGTATGTTAAATCAAAGACCATGTTTCTGTAGAAAGAAAAAACAAAACATGTCAATGTAGGTTCAAAATACATTTTTTTTTAAATCAACAGAAAGTAACAACCTTTAACGATGATTCACTGAAAAAAAAACCAAAGATAAGAAAATAATGAAGATACGGTGAGCAAACAACAACGACATGGGCAAGCATTTAAAATTTGTAAATCTTTACTTGATCCTACAAAAACAATGTGTCAGTATAATGAGAAGACCTGACTCAGTAGCTGTGTATCGGAAATAAAGCACTTTTAATAAATGAATTAGATATACAGTGCATCCAATGCGGATAAAGATTTTAAATGAAAACCAGTTAAGTTCCTTTAAATCTGCGAGATGATAATAATCGATGGTTAGAGACCTTGAATGACATGGATCAAAATCGTTCGCAATGGCGCCGTTGCATTTATGCTTTGTGTTCTCTCAAATCCTAATCTTCTGGGTTCTTCAACAACTCTAGTTTTGACTTTCTAAACTTATCTCACCGAATCATACATCTTGAATAATATCTTCTAATCCCAACCTCTCCGATTACTTCTAATACCTTTACTACCTCTTCTACTATTGGATTTGAATTGACAATGACATCTCTGTGTGTGCTGATGTGGTATGGCAACATGAACTGATGTACTTACGTACGAAGTTCTACGTTGCATCTGACTCTGACTCCTTTAAATCACCTATCAGGATTTTAAGCTTAGTCACATTTTTGAAATGTTTTTTCATATATTTAGTGTATACAAGTGCACAAGTGTAGGTGGACTTGTATTTAGTTGACAAGCTGGATGATGACTAATTTACTTTGAACATTTCTGAAATTATTTTTAAAATTCTTACTGAGTCTAGTTTAATGCTCAACATTCATTCGTTTGAGATCAGTTGTGTCAATGGCAACTTTACACATTAACACTTTTGACTAGAACTGAAAAGTAAAAGCCTAGTCTAATTAAAGTATACTTAGTGTATAAAGGTTCATACGTTAAAGAAAGTAGCATCTATGACAGATAGACATGGACCAATGTTAATAAACTTTGAAGTGAGAATACATACTAGACTTCACTGACAATAACGAAATACACTTGTGTTCATTTGATTCGATTACCTATTTTACTATCTAAAGAAGTGATTGACATTAAGTCACAAAACATCAGAAATTCTAGTTTCTATTCATTGGAACATTACAAAAATATCATTTTTTTTTCTTGATATCATGAATGAATTATTGTTAGACCACTATTGGAAACGAGGAAACACGGGACGGCCGTTTCGTCCCAGTATGGGACTCAAAACCTTCGGTTTCGTGAGCAAACACTTAACCTCTAGACCCTTGATCCGGTATCTAACGGTGTTAATGTCTACCTATGAACGATCTAAGGATTTTACACGACCTTATCCGTCTTGTCTTCAGTAATTACTGCCTACACCACACCAGACAAGGTTGAATCCCACTGGTCACATCTTGAAATCATGAATAATTTCAAGGTAAACACAACGATCTCCATACTACTATTATGCAAAATATACAATAATTATACTACAAAACAGTCCAATGTTCAGTTTGATTTAATACATGAATATGTAACAAATTAATTGAAAATTGAACAAAAGAACAAAAAACAAAAAGAACTGAATAGTTAACAACCTATTAGTCAGGCAAGAGTTTGTCGAACAAAAGACAGCAAATCGAAAATTTAGCAGTAAATAAGTTTAACAATAGAAACAACATATAAATTCATGCATATTTTTCACATTAATAAACAATACTTGAAGAAGAAAGACAAGCAGAATATTTTGAATGAAAATTTGTATTTCTAAAAAATAGATACAATAACATTCTTGCTAAATTGATATTATGTACAATGAGAAGAGTATTGAACACCCCCCCCCCAAAAAAAAAATTAGTTTATAACAATATTTTTTTCAATCAAAACTACATGGTTGATTACATAATTCAGCAACACGTTTAATAAGATCATTAATAGTTGAATATTTATCTAGTATAGGCAGTAATAAACTGAAACATTCAGCAAACTCATAAAATACAGTCCAATGTCCATATAAAAGTGCATCAATCTTTCCAGGTTTATCACGTCCTAATAAAAATGGACCATTACCGAGTAATTCAACAATACTACCACAAAGTGCTTCCATATCTTGTAAAATATCATTTGTGTTCATTTTATTCCAACCAATAGATTTTAAAAAATTCACATATTGTTGACGTTTTCGTTTAGCAATAAAACTAGTTAATAATGGAGGTGTAGAAGATTTAAGACGTTTATAAGTGAAATTATTATAGGTAGATTCATGAAACCAAGTGAAATAAAGCATTACATTACGTAATGTATCAGAAATCCAAAATAAGTAAGTATGCCGTAAACTTCGTGAAGTAAGTTTAGAATTACTAAAGTTAATATCTTTATTGGCTTTCAAAATACTCAACCGTAAACACAAAGAAGTGTAACCAGTTACAGTAGAACCATTAACAATAGTAACAGGAAGTAAGTGATCAGGAGAACATGAATCAGCATTTAAAATACGATCAACTAGAAATGATAATCTACTTCGAGCCATATAACAAATGGCAGAACGAGTTGCAGCTTCATCGGAAGGAAGTATGATCTGGCGTGGATGTGTTAATACAAGAATTTTAGACATTAGAACGAGGCTAAACTTTTTATGATTGGATTAATTCTTTAGTCTGTAATAAGATAAAAACATAAAAGGTAATTAGTGATATTTACCTATAAATGGGAATACATAAAAAAAATTAACGATTTGGTGTTGTGATTTGTAAAATGTGACCAAGAATATCCATTGTGATTGATAACAAAATATGTTTCTGTGATCAATGTGAAACTCACGATGGCTAGTTAGTAGTTCACAATTCATAACAAATGTGTCTGACTAAAGAACCTTAGGTATACAGATCAGATCAATAATACTATGTAATTTTATCCATGCCCTTTAACTACTGTCCAGTACATATAAGCCTTAAAACCATCGAACGAAAATTCGCTAATATTGCACTAAAAATGTCAAAATAAGTTTAAAAGAGTATTTTGGTTTACGAATCACTTGAGAAGAATAGATATTGTATTAGATCATAATAAATATTAAAGTAAGCAGTTGTAGATGCTTGAGACACAAGAAACAATGTCTCTTCGTTAATTTGGTTTACGCCCTGACAGATTGCAGCCCACATGCAATCAACGATGAGTTCTAGCATTAGTTATCAATTAACTCTAATTTCAAGCCAATGGTGCACAGGAGCTCTAGGATCCTGATGGAACGAATGGAGTATGGACATATCGTTGGTCACTATTTACCATGGGACTACATCAGCTAACGTAGCTTCATTGCCTTGTAGATTAGATTTGTATGTCAAAGGTTTTGGGAGAAGCTAAGAAAATCACCTGCATCTGTTTGAATAGCCCAGCATAATCCTAGTTCATATAAAAATTCATTGGTTTGTATGGCATATCAACATTTAAGTATTCCCTTGTACTAGTAATTGTGTTCAAACATATAGGAAAGTCTTAACAAGCTTACACACCCTCAGTTTACATTCAGGTTACTACACACTCTTCCTAGTGCTCAACAATCGGAACTAATAAAATTTGACATTTAGGTTTGTGGAAGTCACTAGCTTCACTATTCGAAAATGTATCACTGGCATCGATGATAGACGGTAATCTCATTAAACACATATGGGGTGAAGGCAGTTATCCCTTAAAAATATAAAAAGGCGATGACCAACATTTAAACTCTTAGATGGATTTTTAACAACCAACTTTCAACATTAGTTAGCAACTGGGAATTTTAAGAACCTTTTCTGTTTACAAGTACGATTTTAAATACTGATGTCGCATAATTTTGGAACAGTAACAATACATTGGGTATAGAACAGTTGTAAGTTAAACTACCCACGGCATATACTGTGAATAAGTATCTTTATGTCTTGGGAAATTCAATAAACAGAACGTGTAATTTAAGACGGTAAGATAACTTTGGTTTCAGTTGCTTTAATCGGAGCGAAATTGACTGAGGTACGAAAGATGTGTGCTAGTCCCGTTCAGTACTAATCCTTGGAATCAGTTCTGACGGTTTACTTCACACCAACGTAGCTGTTGCACCAGGCGACTAGTAAATAGGGAAGCTAGTCAGAAAAAATATAATCATTCCCAAACAGCTATTTCAAAGCAATTTATATTCCCAGTGATTTTAAAGAAGGTTGTACTTTGTTAAAGACATGTATTAAAACTAGGATTTTATAATTCTTTGTATCTGAGTGGCGTCAGTTCGAACGTACATATTTGAAGTTTGATATACAAAAAAGGGAAAAATATAACGTGAGTAAATCACTTGATTTTATTTAGTAATAGATATTAAACTGGATTTATCGCTTCTCATACAAAAAGCCGAAACTCCCAGGTGTTTTGCAATTTTAAACATTCAATGAAATGTTTGGTGATGATCAACCAACTCATCACGATTCATAGGAGCCGTAGCTATTAAGAAATCGTTCGCAATTTAGTTTCGAATTTTTAAATTTATTTGTCCGTCCCGTTCAGGCCGAAATAATGAAGATACATTAAAAACCAAAATACCAGAACTGATGACCTACACATGCATGTAACACGTGTAATCAGCAAGCACTTGAAGGCGGGTAGGATCTACAATCACAACACACAAGGTTAGTAGAGCACCTCACACCAAGAGAGAACAAGAAGTGGTTGCCACGGCACTCGTTTATTTTTAAAAATTGAAACACGCGGAATCTTACAGAAAAGGGTTGCTATGGTATCAAAGTCTTAAGAGTCATCCTGTATGTTCAGATCACTCAGGGCCCGTTCTTCGGCCTCCAAAGTGTTTACGTTTGCTCGCCCTGAAATAGAAAGAAAACAGGACGGGTTAGCAACATCATACATGGTGATTTTGACTCTGTTACACCACCCCCTCTCCTAAGGAGGCACTGTCCTCAGTGCCCGGTCTCGGACAAGGATATGCTGTTCCCCCTTCAGGTGGTATCTCATAAAAAGTGGTAGCAGGCGGTGGATTCATGAACTGAGCATCGGCAGATACTGTTGTTCGATCTAGCTTTATTTGGTTATAGTGCGCTGTTATTACGTCGTCCTGAGGGCGTTGCAGATTACGCAGTACAACGGTCGTGGGGGAACGGATGAGGACGATTTCGAATGGGCCGTGCCAAGGGCGGTGGAATTTACTGCAACTCCCGGATGACGTCATGGGGCGTCGTAACCAGACACGATCTCCAACCTTATACGTTGGTCCGTGAACCTGACGATCATATATGTCTTTTTGATGACTACTAGCCCTGTGTAAGTTGATGTTGACTAAGCGGTACGCATCAGCCAGGCGATTTCGGAGAGTACGGATGTACGGTACGTATTCTAGTTCTTCATATGGTAGCAAGGGCGACTGTATCTCTACTGGGAGGCGTAGTTCATGACCGAATAGTAAGGTGGCAGGTGAGAACCCCGTAGAACCATGTATTGACGTTCGATAAGCTAGCATACATTGAGGGAGCACCTCATCCCACAACTCCGAGGACGATCTGCTGATGAATGACTGTAAAATAGCTTTAATGGTTCTATTCGTCCTTTCGACTAGCCCGTTACCTTCTGGGTGATATGCGGTAGTATGCGTTTTCCTTATTCCTAATAACTTGCAGATTTCGGTAATGAGATGACTTTCAAAGGCGGGGCCTTGGTCGGAGTGGAGTGAGAGTGGGGCACCATAACGGGATACCCAATGGTTGATGAACGCTTGTGCGATAGTACGGGCATCTTGTTGAGGAAGGGCTACTGCTTCACACCATTTAGTGAAATAATCCACCATCACTAGTATGTAGCGATTTCCTTGTTTTGTCGTCGTCAACGGTCCCATAATATCAATGCCAACTCGTTGATGTGGTGCTGTTGTCGCCATCGGAGTCAAAGGTGCACGTGGTGTGTGTTTTGGCGATTTTATACGGCTACACGTGTTACAATGTTTGCAGAAATCAGTAACGTCTTCGTGAATAGATGGCCACCAAAAGCGCTGGCGAATCGCGTGTTCAGTTCTTCGTTCACCTGCATGACCTAGTTCTCGATGAACCTGTTCTACAATGCTCTGGGTTTTTATTTGTGGTATTATTAGCAGGGGGTGTTTGGACTCATTAACTAGAAATAACGTGTCCCCGTACAGTTTTAAGTTACTCCATTTGGTACAAATACGACGAGTTGCCAAAGATTGATCTTTCAACTCCTTCATAGACGGCTTATTGTTTCCACATAGCTGTCTTCGGTAAATAATCTGTAAATCCGGGTCTGCTGCTTGCAGAGACGGCCAATCGGTCTCTACGGCTGTGCTTAGAAGTGCATTAACGGTATCCGTGGGTAGCGGCATACGAGAGAGAGCATCCGCGTTTGTGTGTCTATTCCCCGGCCGGTACTCACATGTGAAATCGAACTCTTGCAACCGTTCCTGCCAGCGTGCCACCTGTCCTTCTGGCTCGCGGAAAGAACGAAGCCACTGCAATGCACGATGGTCTGTGCGTACACGAAACGGTCTGCCAAGTAAATAGTGACGAAAGTGCTGTAAGAATTTCACTAGCGCTAGCATTTCTCGTCGTGTTGTGGAGTACCGTGCTTCGCTCTTGTCCAATCGGCGGCTGGCGTACGCGATGACTCTCTCTTGACCATCTTTAGCTACTTGTGACAGGACTGCTCCAATAGCTGAGGAACTGGCATCCGTATCGAGTATGAACTCACCTCCATCTGACGAAGTGTCGGGGAAGGCTAGTATGGGTGGGGAGGTTAACCGTGCCTTTAGCATATCGAATGCCTGTTGACACTCGTTAGTCCATAGAAATTTTCGTCCTTTATGCGTCAACCGGTGCAAAGGTGCTGCCAAAGTTGCAAAGTCGCGGACAAAACGTCTGTAGTACGAGGCAAGTCCCAGGAAGCTACGAACATCTTCAGGTGATTTTGGCTGGGGCCAATTAACAATAGCACGTGTCTTTTCCTTATCTGTGCCTACTCCTTCGGCAGTGATGCGATGTCCCAAGAAGGCTACTTCCTTCTGCAACAGCCGGCATTTCGATGGTTTTACTTTTAGGTTATGTTGTTTAAGACGCTGCAGAACAGCTTTCAGGTTGGCATTGTGTTGTTCAGGTGTTCTGCCATATACAATAATGTCATCAAGATAAATCAAACATTTGTGGGGTGTTATATCGTGTAATACTGTTTGCATTAGTCTTTGAAAAGTAGCCGGGGCATTCGTTAAACCGAAAGGCATTACCTGAAACTCATACAAACCATTTGGTACTACGAATGCAGTTTTCTTTCTATCCTGCGGTCGAACTTCTACTTGCCAGTATCCAGATGCTAGATCTAAGGTAGAGAACCAACAAGCACCTTTTAAGGAGTCCAGTGTAGTATCAATGCGTGGAAGTGGAAAAGAATCTCGTTTAGTGATGGCATTAAGGCGTCGATAGTCTACACACAGTCGGAGAGAGGAATCTTTCTTCTTCACAAGAACAATAGGTGACGCCCAGGGGGACGACGAAGGTACTATAATCTTTTTATCTAACATATCTTTTATCATCGACTCCAGTTGTGGTCGGTAGTGTACGGGTACTCTGCGAGGCGGCTGCCGGAGGGGCATATGGTCTCCTGTAAAAATAGAGTGTTGAAC